TTTTCTTGGAGGACTAGTACGTCCTAAGATAAGACTGATTTTGGCAAATGACATACCTTCTAAGAAAAGAGAGGGTGGGTGGGCGGGGCTAGTAACTGTCAAGATAAGAGAGATTTTGGCAAATGACATATCTCACAAAAAATTTAATCAAATCATTATCAGAAAACACACTAGAGGCTCCAAAGCACTTTCACAATCTTTTCAAGCAGGAAATACCAAGAACTCAAGCTTGTTTTATATTTTCAAAAATCGGAGTCCCAAAATTAACTCCAAAACAGGTCCAAGTCAAAATTTTCCAAAAATGGAAGACCAAAGTCCCCCAAAATTTTTCGTTCCGGTTTTTTAATTCCTTAAAATTTTAGTTAAATTTTTTGGTATTCCAGCTTTTTGATTTTTTAATTTTTCGTTTTTTCAGTTTTAAATTTTTCAGTTTCTCGATTTTTCAATTTTTTGTTTCTTCAATTTTGATCCACAGTTTTTCTAGTTTTCATTATTTTTAAACATGTAAAAATAATTACAATTTTCAGAATGTTTTACTTTTTCTATTTTACGATTTTAGAATTTTTCCATTTTTCAGTTATTGGATTTTAAAACTTTTTCTATTTTTAATTTTCATTTTTCTAATTTTTCAATTTTTTGGTCTGTTAGTATTAGTTTTTGGCGAGTCTATAATTTTTCGATTTTACAATTATATGATCCGATTTTTTGTTTCTTCGGTTTTTTCATTTTCCACTTGTTTGATTTTGCAATTTTTTGTGTTTTCAGTTTTTCGATTTTTCATTTTTTCGAATAAAACAGTGGAAAAATTGCTAAATTGTAAAACTGAAAAATCGAAAATGAAAAAACCAAAATGAAAACTTCGAAAAATCTAAAAATTGGAAATCAAGAACTTGAAAAATTGAAGAAACGAAAAATTCAAGAATCGAAACGAAATTGCAAAATCAAAATATTGGAAATGAAAGAAATTGAAAAATTTTAAAATAGGAAATTCGACAACTGTAAAATCGAAGATTGAAAATTTGAAAAATTGACTTAACGGAAAATTATAAAATCGAAAGGAACATTGAAAAAATAAAAAAAATGAAAAAACGAAAATTGTGGCAAAATAGAGAAAATGAAAACTAAAAAATTGGGAGAACGAAAATTAAAAATCAAGAACTTGAAAAATTGAGGCATCGAAAAAACCAAAAATCAAAAAAAATTAAAGTACAATGTGTGATTTACCAACTAAAGTAACAACTAAATATTTACAAATGCTAGAACAGTATTTATAACTTATTTTATAGTTTAGTTATCTGTCTTTTTATATACAGCGCGCCGTTACATGCCAATGATCAGACAGGTGTTATTGACCCCGACACCGACACCGACACTATATCTAGCTATATCAGTTTTATCTTAGCAAATACTAACCCCGCCCACCCACCCTCTCTTCTCTTAGAGGGTATCTCATTTGCCAAAGTCACTCTTGGAAATCAAGAAATGTTTTACTTTTTCGATTTTACGATTTTAGAATTTTTCCATTTTTCAATTATTGGATTTTAAAACTTTTTCTATTTTTAGTTTTCATTTTTCTAATTTTTCAATTTTTCGGTCTTTTAGTATTACAGTTTTTGGCGAGTTTATAATTTTTCGATTTTAAAATTTTATGTTCTGATTTTTCGTTTCTTCGGTTTTTGGATTTTCCACTTGTTCGATTTTGCAATTTTTTGTGTTTTCAGTTTTTCGATTTTTCATTTTTTCGAATCAAAAAATGGAAAAACTGCTAAATTGTAAAATTGAAAAATCGAAAATGAAAAAACAAAAATGCATAAAATGAAAACTTCGAAAAATCTAAAAATTGGTAATTATTTATTATTTATTATTATTTTTATGCATATTTACTTTGACTTGCAATGTCACTTTTAATTATATCATACTTGCTATGCTTACGCATCGTACAATTACGTAATCAACAACTTGAAAAATTGAAGAAACGAAGAATGCAAGAATCGAAACGAAATTGTAAAATCAAAATATTGGAACTTAAAGAAATTGAAAATTTTAAAAATAGGAAAAGCGAGGAACTGAAAAATCGAAGATTAAAAAATTGGAAAAACGAAAAATAAAAACCAAGAACTTGAAAAATTGGGGCAACGAAAAAACCAAAAATACAAAAAATTGAAAATTGGGAAACTAAAAATTGAAAAAAATTCTAATATCGAAAAATTGCAAAATTGAAGAATTGCAAATTAAAAAATTGTTGAAAAAACGAGAAATTATTGAAAATTGGAAAAATTGTAGCAAAAATTATAAAATCGAAGAAAAAAGAAATTCCGGGTGACTATTAATGACTGAAGCTAATTAATTTTTGCGTTGGCATTTCTGAATTATTGGCAGCAATGTTAAGATGTCAGTTCACAGTTGTAAATTTTGACGAGCTTAAAAACCATAGAAAAAATGGCAGCTACTGAATTGCTGCCCAAATTTGAATTCAACATCCGGTATGCGACATAAAATTTTAAATATGTTGCCAACCTGACAAAAATCACAAACATTAGCTCGGTAGTTTAAAAGAAATTGATCATTAAATAATAGGGTATGCGATTTGGCAATATAAGTTACATTTTATCAAATACTAGCCCCGCCCACCCTCCTTTCTTCTCTTCGAGGGTATGTCATTTGCCAAAATCACTCTTATCTTGGCAAGCACTAGCCGCGCCCACCCGCCCTTTATTTTCTTGGAGGGCTAGTACCTCCTAAGATAAGACTGATTTTGGCAAATGGCATACCCTCTAAGAAAAGAGAGGGTGGGTGGGCGGGGCAAGTAACTGTCAAGACAAGAGTGATTTTGGCCAATGACTTACCCTGTAAGAGAAGAGAGGGTGGGTGGGTGGGGCTAGTACCCGCTAAAATAAGCGCGATTTTGGCAAACGACATATCTTACAAAAAAATTAATTAAAACATTATCAGAAAAGACACTAGAGCCTCCAAAGCACTTTTACATTCTTTTCAAGCAGGAAATACCAAGAACTCAAAATTGTTTTAAATTTTCAAAAATCGGAGTCCCAAAATTAACTCAAAAACAGGTCAGGTCAGAATTTTCCAAAAATGGAACACCAAAGTCCCCCAAAATTGTTTTAAATAGTTTACAAAAAAAATCTCCATGGGTAGCCAAGAATCTCCCGAATTAAAAAACCTAAAATATTGCGGCACTCAAGACTTTTTCAAATTTATAAAAAATTAAACACTAAAAGCTCAACAAATTTTTTCAAGTTCATCCAGCAACAAAACATCAGATTACTTCAAATTTAACCGAATAAAATAAAAATAAAACACCAAAGGACCAAAATTAAATGCGGATATTTTAAACGACTTGCAATTATTCGTTCTGGTTTTTAATTTCTTTATTATTGTTCAATTATTTTGGTATTCCAAGTTTTTGAATTTTTAATTGTTCGTTTTTCAGTTTCAGATTTTTCAGTTTTTTGTTTCTTCAATTTTGATTCATAGTTTTTCTAGTTTTCATTTTAAATATGTAATAATAATTACAATTTTTAAAAAGCTTTACTTTTTCGATTTTACGATTTTAGAATTTTTCCATTTTTCAGTCATTGGATTTTCAAGCTTTTTCTATTTTTAATTTTCAGTTTTCTAATTTTACAATTTTTCGTTCTTTCAGTGTTACAGTTTTTGGCGAGTCTATAATTTTTCGATTTTACAATTTTATGTTCCGATTTTTTGTTTTTTCGGTTTTTCGATTTGCAACTTTTTCAATTTTGCAATTTTTTGTGTTTTCAGTTTTTCAATTTTTCATTTTTTCGATTTTTCAACTTTTCGACTCAAAAAAATGGAAAATTTGCTAAATTGTAAAATTGAAAAATCGAAAATGAAAAAACAAAAATGCATAAAATGAAAACTTCGAAAAATCTAAAAATTGGAAATCAAGAACTTGAAAAATTGAACGAACGAAAAATTCAAGAATCGAAAAATTGAAAAATGGGAAACTGAAACAAAAAAAATTCTAATATCGAAAATTGCAAAATTGAAGAATTGAGAAATTATTGAAAAACGGAAAAATTGTAACAAAAAGCGTAAAATCGGAGAAAAAGGAAAAACAAAAAATTGTGGTGGTAAAATATTGGTCGAAGGTAAATAAATCCAATTTTTCGAAAAATCAAGTTAACATGTCAGTTCACAGTTGTAAATGCTGATATGAACAAGCCTAAAAACCAATGAAAAAAAAGCCCAAATTTGAATTTAACATCAGTTATACCACTTAAAATTTTAAATATGTTGCCAACCTGACAAAAATCATAAACTCGGTACTTTCAAAGAAACTGATCGTTAAATAATGCTAAAAATATTTACAACTGGCTGTATTCTATATTTTCTCAATAAATACTTAACGTTAAAATGTGTTTTATTTAGACGCAAAAAAAACTGTCAGGTGTAGGATTCAAACCCACGCTCCCTTTCGAGAATCAGAGATTAAATCTAAAAGTATTGGAGCTACAAGGTCAGATTCGGGTTCAGGTCGATCCAACACAAGGAGATGACAAACGTTCGATAAAAAGTAGTGGGGCTACTAGGCCAGTTTGACCTCATTTGACCTGGCCAAGGAGCCCCACTACATAACTACTAATTTCAAAGAATCTTTTGGATTTTTAAAGAATTTTAAAGAACCTCAAGGGGATACGGCGTTTTGAGTTTGAAAAAATAATAATTATTGTCTGGGAGAGGGTTTCTGGTGTTTTAGGGGGTGCCTGGTTTGATTTTTTTGAAAAATTTTGGAAGAATCCTAGGAGCAATTGATGTTTTGCTTTCGGAAGATTTTAAATTAGTCTATAGGGTCCTTGGTGTTTTATTTAAAAAAAAAATTGTTTTTCAAATAGTTTGAACGAATCTTAGAGGTCCTTTGAGTTTTGTTGGAGACTCCTAATGTTGTTTTCAAAATTTTTAAAAAAAGTCAAGAATCCGACGTTTGTCATCTGCCTGACATTTCCATGGCGATCCGAAACAAATCTCTTTGAAGTTTTAAACTTTTTCAACTTTGCATCGTACCTCTCAAGCCACCCCACATCCTCTAAGAAATTTATAGTAGCCCGCATATGATGCGTAGAGGTAAACCCGACTGCGACGAAGTAAGTACCCCGCAAAGTTCTAACTGAAGCCACCTTCCTCCCTTTCAGAAAATTGAACAAAAAGCGTCAGAAACTGACAGACACGGTTTAGGCAACTTGGATTTACTAAATTTACGGTAGCTTGATACACGAGCCGCGTACCACCATACTTGAGGTTTATTTTCAGTCTGAATCTCCCGCTAGACAAATACAAGAAAAAAGTCGAAAAGGACACCGGCTGCGGCGACAACGAAGTCATTTCAACCAAAGTAAGTTAACGGCTTCAAGTTTCCGTTGTAAAATTCTTTTACTGTTACAAGGGCAGTTTGAGGCACTCTCTCCGAAAACTCAACCTGTCAGAACCCAACTGGCAAAGGCTGACACAGGGTTATGAAACATCGAAAATCCACCGTAGAAGCGAAACGATCCAAACGAAGTTAGATAATACAGTAGACGAGTTCTTGCTGCCCCCGAGGAAGAAAAACTCGAGAGAGATCTTGACGTAAGCGAGAAAAGCGCTCTTTATTATGGATTGTATCGTTTGATGTTGACGGGGTTGCAGGAGCAGGTCCACGTTACCGCTGAGCAGTGCAGGGGACCCCGGAAATTTCCCGTTTAAAGCTACGCCGAGCGGAAACTTGAAAGTCAATTCGGGACAGGTACCTGTACACAGATAAAAAAAATCGGGTGTAGCACATCTTGTCTAGGTTGTTTTCGAATCCAGAAAACTGAGCGTTTTAGTAGCACATCCGGAGCGAACTCAGGTCAAAATTTACTCGGACGAAACTAGCGAGAGAATCATCAGAAGAAATATGGCGTACGGCACTGGAGAGTTTACCAGAAATTCGGCCATGGATGCCATCTTGAGCCAGGTGAAACGTCAAAATAAATATATTTTTTTTGTTATTTTGTGTGTATAAATATTGCTCTGTGTTCATTGGACCACCAGAGGTTTCTAGGTGATGCCACAGTCGTCGATTACCACCACAATAGTTCATTACAGCCCCGTAGCTAGAAAACTTATTCAGGGGGGGGCAAGTTTGTCGACAGAGGGGGCTTCATGTAAATATTTATATTTTAATAATACACTCAGATAACTACTTTATTTTTTCTGAGTTTTTATATTTGAAAGAACATTAAAATAATTGGAAACGTCGATTTTTTACGCTAAATTTTCGTAAAAACCTGTCGAAGTCCAAAAAATTAGTACGGTACTTGGTTAAAATGCTGGTTAAAACAGAGAATGTAGATTCACAAACAGCAGTACTGCATCCAAAAATTTGTTTAGTGGCCATATAGGTAACATCCAATTTGTTTGAGTTTATTTTTTTTGCATGTTTAGTACATATTTTAAAAATCCGACTTCGAAATCAAATATTTCGAAAATTTTGGTACGGAACCATGAACTCGTCATGTTTTTTTAAACTCGTCGAGATGTGTATTTCAAAATTTTTTGTCAACTTTAACAAAAGCTCAATTTTTGGAAACCCATATAAAATTTTTGACTTTTCCAAAGCATTTTCGAAAATTACCAAAAGAATTCCTTTGTTCATCTCGATTTCTTCCAAAAATTGTTTTGGATTCAATTTTTTTGAAAATTCTTACATTTTTTGCAGAAACGACGGAAGAAAAATGGCAATTTTTGAGAACCTGTATCAAATTTTTGACTTTTTTCAAACACGTTCGAAATTACCAAAAGGGATTCCTTTATTGATTTCGATCTCCAGATGTTGTTTTTGGTTGTTTTTTCGAAAATTCGTACAATTTTTCCATAATCGCCAAAAGAAATATGGTAATTTTTGAGAAATTTTGAAAATTCCAGCTCGAAACCGAGTATTTCGAAAATTTTGATACGAAACCTTGAACCTGTCATGTTTTTTTAAGCTCGTCGAAATCTATATTTCAGAATTTTTTGTCAACTTTTACGAAAGTTTAATTTTTGAAAACCCATATAAAATTTTTGGCTTTTCCCAAGCATTTTCGAAAATTACCAAAAGAGATTCCTTTGATCATCTTGATTTCCAGAAATCGTTTTGGATTCAATTTTTTTGAAAATTCTTACATTTTTTCCAGAATGGACGGGAGAAATATGGCAATTTTTGAGAACCTGTGTCAAATTTTTGACTTTTTTTCAAGCACGTTCGAGATTACCAAAAGGGATTCCATTATTGATTTCGATCTCCAGATGTTGTTTTTGGTTGTTTTTTCGAAAATGCGTACAATTTTTCCACAATCGCCAAAAGAAATATGGTAATTTTTGAGAAATTTTGAAAATTCGAGCTCGAAATCGAGTATTTCGAAAATTTTGATCCGGAACCATGAACCTGTCATGTTTTTTTAAGCTCGTCCAAATCTGTATTTCAGAATTTTTTGTCAACTTTCACGAAAGTTCAATTTTTGAAAACCCATATAAAATTTTTGACTTTTTCCAAGCATTTTCAAAAATTATCAGAAGAGACTCCTTTGTTCATCTCGATTTCCAAAAATCGTTTTGGATTCAATTTTTTTGAAAATTCTTACAATTTTTCCAGAATTGACGGAAGAAATATGGCAATTTTTGAGAACCTGTGTCAAATTTTTGACTTTTTTTCAAGCACGTTCGAGATTACCAAAAAAGGATTCCTTTATTGATCTCGATTTCCAGATGTTGTTTTTGGTTTTATTTGGTTGAAAAGTCGTAAAATTTTTCAGCAATCACCAAACGAAATGTAATTTTTGAACTTTGAAACCGAATGTTTCGAAAATCTTGATCTGGGACCATCTAGACCTTGTGTTTTTTGATTGAGCTCGTCGAGATCAACATTTCAGATTTTTTTGTGGATTTTTAGTCAACTTCAACAAAAGCTAAATTTTTGAAAATCAATAAAATGTTTTTGACTTTTCTCAACCGTTTTCGAAAATTAGCAAAAGGGATCTCTTTATCGATTTCGATCTCCAAATGTTGTTTTTGGTTTTATTTTCTCGAAAATGTGTACAATTTTTCCAAAGCCGCCAAAAGAAATATGGTAATTTTTGAGAAATTTTGAAAATTCGAGCTCGAAACCGAGTATTTCGAAAATTTTGATCCGGAACTATGAACCTGTCATGTTTTTTTAAGCTCGTCCAAATCTGTATTTCAGAATTTTTTGTCAACTTTACGAAAGTTCAATTTTTGAAAACCCATATAAAATTTTTGACTTTTTCCAAGCATTTTCAAAAATTATCAGAAGAGACTCCTTTGTTCATCTCGATTTCCAAAAATCGTTTTGGATTCAATTTTTTTGAAAATTCTTACAATTTTTCCAGAATTGACGGAAGAAATATGGCAATTTTTGAGAACCTGTATCAAGTTTTTGACTTTTTTCAAGCACGTTCGAGATTACCAAAAGGGATTCCTTTATTGATTTCGATCTCCAGATGTTGTTTTTGGTTTTATTTGGTTGAAAAGTCGTAAAATTTTTCAGCAATCACCAAACGAAATGTAATTTTTGAACTTTGAAACCGAATGTTTCGAAAATCTTGATCTGGGACCATCTAGACCTTGTGTTTTTTGATTGAGCTCGTCGAGATCAACATTTCAGATTTTTTTGTGGATTTTTAGTCAACTTCAACAAAAGCTAAATTTTTGAAAATCAATAAAATGTTTTTGACTTTTCTCAACCGTTTTCGAAAATTAGCAAAAGGGATCTCTTTATCGATTTCGATCTCCAAATGTTGTTTTTGGTTTTATTTTCTCGAAAATGTGTACAATTTTTCCAAAGCCGCCAAAAGAAATGTAATTTTTGAGAAATTTTGAAATGTCGACTTTGAAACCGAATTTTTCGAAAATCTTGGTCTGGGACCATCAAGACCTTATGTTTTTGGATTAAGCTCATCGAGATCTACATCTCGGAATTTTTTGTTGATTTTTTGTTAATTTCAACAAAAGCCCAATTTTTGAAAATCCATATACATTTTTTGACTTTTCCCAAGCATCTTCGAAAATTAGCAAAAGGGATCTCTTTATTGATTTCGATCTACAGATGTTATTTTTGGTTTTATTTTTTTGATATTTAGTCGAATTTTTCCACAATCGCATAAAGAAATAACTTTTTTTTAAGTCACTTTTGAGATTTTTTAGAAATTTTAGGTAGAAACCCAATATTTCGTAAATTTTGCTCCGGGAGCATGAACATGTTTTTCGATTAAGCTCATCGAGATCTATATTTCAGAATTTTTTGTCAACTCTAACAAAAGCTCAATTTTTGAAAACTAAATAAATTTTGACTTTTCTTAAGCATTTCCAAAAATTACCAAAAGTCATTCTTTTATTTATTTCAATCTTCAGATGTTTTTGGTTTTATTTGATCGAAAATTTGTAAAATTTTTCTAGAATCGTCAAAAGAAATAGGAGTATAATTTTTGAGAAATTTTAAAAATTCGACTTGGAAACCGAATAGCAGCAAGACCTTATGTTTTTTAACTAAACTTGTGGAGATCTACATCTCAGAATTTTTTGTAGATTTTTAGCCAATTTCAACAAAAGCTCAATTTTTGAAAATCTATAAAAACAATTTGACTTTTCCCACGCATTTTCGAAAACTAGCAGAAGGGATCTTTTTATTGATTTCGATCTCCAAATGTTTTTTTTTGGTTTTATTTTTTCTAAATTTCGTACAATTTTTCCAGAGCCGCCAAAAGAAATGTAATTTTTAGAAATTTTGAAATGTCGACTTTGGAACCGAATTTTTGAAAAATCTTGGTCTGGGACCATCAAGACCTTATGTTTTTTGATTAAGCTCATCGAGATCTACATCTCAGAATTTTTTGTCGATTTTTTGTCCATTTCAATAAAAGCTCAATTTTTAGAAAATCCATATAATATTTTTGACTTTTCTCAAGTACATAGTAGGCTATGGAATAAAATGTGACATGTTCATTTGTTTATACGGTCAACATCAACGGTAGTGTGATATTGCCAAATAATATACCCTGTAAGAAAATAAAGGTGGGGCGGGTGGGGCCAGTTAATATGCTTCGGCAATCGGCATTATATTGAAATTTTATTACTAATTTGAAATTTATAATGTATAAGTCTTCCAGGGGGGGCAACCACAACTGCTAAGGGGGGCTCAGCCCCCTCTTGCCCCCCCCCCCCGTAGCTACGGGGCTGGTTCATTACAACACCATCCCTTGTACTCGCCTGAGGGAAGGCGCTCCCGCAGCCCCCTCGTCGTGTACAAATTGAATTGCGAGCGCGTCCCATCCAATATAGAGTCCTCTGGAGACGACTTCCATTACAGTAATCCCCGTTCACATTTTGGGTTTGTTGTCGTTGCAGGCTGGCATCTCCGGCCTCGGCTCGATCATCGGAGACACTCCGGTTCGAAGCACGAATAAGGTGTCATCGGAGTATGAAAGCAAACAGACGTCGGAAATATTGGATCCGGAACTGAATCTGAGCCGTCTAGGGTACACAGGAAACGAACCCATAGACTGGAATAAGGTCGTTCTGCCGGATAAAAAGGATCTGTATCTGGAACTGTGCAGACGAATCACTAATAAAAAGTAAGTGGTGGGTGGGAAAAAATGAAAAAAAAGGGTTGGAGGCGCCGGGCATCGATCCCGGTACCTCTCGCATGCTAAGCGAGCGCTCTACCATCTGAGCTACGCCCCCTGATGGGTGATGGTAGCGAGGGTTCGGAGGTACGGTTGGGGTTGGGCTAGATTCTAACGTAGCATTTTTATGTATGGGTGTGGTTGGAACGTGTGGCTTTCACCACTCTCCGTGTGTTGGTCACGTGCTGGGTTATTTTTGGTAATGTCAAAGGGTGTCGAGCGAAATCTTGCGTGCCGTGGATTCGGATGTCCTCAAATTGTTAATATATGTTGTAATTTCCTGTGTTTTTTTTTCGGGGTGGCGCGAACTGTTACAGTTTTAGCATTGTTTTATGTATGCTTTTACATAAATTTCTCTCGAGTCCATCGAGCGACTGACTACTTTCAAATTTTCTCGTCTGTCTGTCTGTCTGTCTGTCTGTCTGTCTGTCTGCCGTCTGTCCGGATTTTTATTAGACAGATAATCAATTGTCAAATTTTGTATGTATGTTAGAAATATTATGTACAGGCTACAACGTTAATAGTAAATGTTATTTTATAAAATAACGTTCTCCACCATTTGTGGTTCATGAAACCGTGTTGAGTTTTATCTTAGGCATCCAGATTTTTGGAAAAATCAAATGATGATGTCATCTTACAATTATGTCGAAAAATATTATTTAAATGTTAAAAAGTAACGTAGTCCTAGACATGTGGTTTATGAATTTGCTGCGAGTTTTTTTCCTAGATATCGAGAGTTTTGAAAATAAATCAAAATTGTAGAAATAAAATAAAATTTATTGATTTCTCAGTGTTTCAAATTTTCGACTCTTCGGCTTTTCAATTTCGCGATTTTTCAACTTCCGATTTCTCAATTTTTCGATATTTCAAATTTTCGATTTCTCTGTTTTTCCATTTTTAAATTTTTCGATTCTTCAATTTCTGACGTCTCTAAATTTTCGATTTGCCGTCTTCTCGACTTCTCGATTTTTGGAATTTTCAGTTTTTCAATTCTTTTTTCAGACATTTGATTTTTCAAATTTTCGATTTTTTAATTTTTCAATTGTTCGATTTTTTAATTTTTTTATTTTTAAACTTTGAATTTTACAAAATCTTAGATTTTTAACATTTCAACTGTGGGATTTTTCAATATTGCGATTCAATTTTTTGAGTTTTCGATTCCTCGATTTTTTTTATTTTGTCGATGTTTCCATTTTTCGATTGAAAAATTTTATATTTTGGAATTTTTCAGTTTTTATTCTTAAGTTTTTTAATTTTACAATTCCTTGATTTTCAATTTTTCAATTTCTCGATTTCCAATTTTTTGATTATCCAATTTTTCGATATTCCAGTGTTGAATTTTGGAAATTTTTCGTGTCTTCAATTTCCAGATTCTTCAAATTTTCGGTTTCTCAATTTTTCGTTTTTTAAATTTTTCAGTTTTTCAGTTTTTTTACTTTTTTGATTTTTCAATTTTTTTATTTTTAAATTTTGAATTTTTCAAAATTTCAGTTTTTTCAATATTTCATTTGTGGAATTTTTCAATATTTCCAATTATTCGGTTTTTGGATTTCTTGATTTTTTTTACTTTTTCAAGTGATCAATTTTTTGATTTTTAAATTTTAGATTTTTCAATTTTTCGATTTTTTTATGTTTCGATTTCTCGATTTTTCGAATTTTCAGTTTTTCAATTCTTCAATTTTTCGAGATTTCAGGTGTTTACAATTTTTTGACTTTTTCATTTTTCTTGGATTTTTCAATTTTTTTTTTAATTTGGATTTTTAAAAATTTCAGTTTTTCGATATTTCAGTTGTGGCATCTTTCAATATTTCCATTCCCCAATTTTTCGGTTTTTCGATTTTTTGATTTTTTAATTTTTTAGTTCTTCAATTTCTATTCGATTTTTTAATTTTTCGATATTTCAGTTTTGAGATTTTTTAAATAGTTCGATTCAATTTTCCGATTTTTCGAGTTTTTCTTAGATTTTTCAAATTTTTCAATGTTTTGGTGTTCCGACTCCTCAATTTCTCGATATTTCAAATTTTCGTTCCTCGAATTTCTATTTTTCAAGTTTTAGACGTTTCAGTTTTTTGATGTTTCGATGTTTCGATTTTTGGATTGTTCAATATGTGGATTTTTCAATTTTTCGATTTATCGTTTATTTTTAAATTTTTTTCAATTTTTCAATTTTTAAAATTTCGGTTTTGGGTCTATTAGAATTTCTCAATTTTTCGACTGTTTAACTTCTCGATTTTTCGATCTTTGATGTTTCGTTTGTCGATATTTCATTTTAGTTCATCAATTTTTTGATGTTTTGATTTCTGTTTCTCGATTTTGCGATTTTTCATTAATTTTACTTTTGGAATTTTTCAATTTTTCGATATTTATTTTTCAATTTTTAGAATTTTAAATTTTAGATTTTTCAATTTTTCGATGTTTTAGTGTTCCGATTCCCTAATTTCTCGATATTTTTATTTTTCAATTTTTTTAATTTTAGATTTTTCGAAAACTGGATTTTTCATTTTTTCAAAATTTATATTTTTCAATTATTGAATTTTCAGTTGTTTGATGTTTCGATTTCTGAATTTATCGAAACTTCGATATTTCGATTTCTCGATCGTTCAGTTTCTCTGATTTTCAATTTTTCAATTTTTCGATTTATCGATTCTTTTTTTTTAATTTACCAATTTTTCAGTTTTTAATTTTTTGATTTTGGGCCAATTAAAATTTCTCTTCTGATTTTACAATTTCTCGATTTTTAACTTTTCAATTTCTCGATTTTCAACTTTCCAATTTTACGATTTTCAATTTTTTGATTCCTCAATTTTTCGATATTTCAGTGTTAACATTTTTAAATTTTTCGTTTCTTCAATGGCTTGATTTTTCAAATTTTCGATTTCTCTATTTTTCGTTTTATAAATTTTTCGAATCTTCAATTTTTGACATTTTTAAATTTTCGATTTCTCGTCATCTCGATTTCTCGATTTTTCGAATTTTCAGTTTTTCAATTCATAATTTTTCGAGTTTTCACCTATTTGATTTCAAAAATTTTTCTTCGATTTTTCAATTTTTGAATATTTCAGTTTTGGGATTTTTCAATATTTCGATTCTTGAATTTTTCTTCTTTTTGTTTTCTCGATTTTTCGGTTTTTTTACTATTTTAATTTTTCAATTTTTTACTATAAATTTTGATTTTTTTTTCAGTTTTTCGATACTTCAGTTGTGGAATTTTTCAATAATTTCCATTTTCCAATTTTTTCGGTTTTTCGATTTCTCGATTTTTTACTTTTTCGAGTGTTTAATTTTTCGATTGTTTGAGGTTTCGAATTTTCAATTTTTTTATTTTTCGGTTTTTCAAATTTTCAGTATTTCAGTTTTGGGATTTTTCGATATTTCGATAAAGCTTTTAAATTTTTCGTTTCTTCAATTTCTCGATTCTTCAAATTTTCGAATTTTCTATTTTTCGTTTTTTAAATTTTTTGATTCTTCAATTTTTGACGTTTCCAAATGTTCGGTTTCTCGTCTTCTCGATTTTTTGAATTTTCAATTTTTTAGTTCTTCAATTTTTCGAGTTCTCAAGTATTTGATATTTCAATTTTTCGATTGTTAAAATTTTCCATTTTTCGACTTTTCGATTTCTCGATTCTTAATTTTTCTATTTCCCGATTTACCATGTTCCAGTTTTGGGATTTTTCAATATTTTCAATATTTCCATTCCCCAGTTTCCCGGTTTATCGATTTCTTGATTTTTTATTTTTTCGAGTTTTCAATTTTTCGATTTTTTGACGTTTCGATTTTTAGATTCTTTTATTTTTCGGTTATTCAATTCCTGTTCGATTTTTAAGTTATTCGATATTTCAGGTTTGGGATTTTTCAATATTTCGATTCAATTTTTCGTTTTTTCGAGTTTTCTATTTTTTACTTTTTAGATTTTTCCATTTTTCGATTAATAAATTTTAGATTTTTCAATTTTTTGATGTTCTGGTGTTTCGATTCCTCAATTTTTCAATATTTTAATTTTCACGTTTTAGAAATTTAGATTTTTCGATATCTCGGTTTTTCAATTTTTGTTTTTTCAAATTTTAAATGTTTCAGTTTTTTGATTTTTCGATTTCTCGATTTATCGAAAATTCTATGTTTCGATTTCTCGATCGTTCAATTTCTCAATTTTTTGATTTTTCGTCTTTTCTCCTTTTAAATTTTTCAATTTTTAATTTATCGATTTTGTGTCAATTAGAATTATTAAATTTTTTGACTATTTGACTTTTCCATTTTTCGTCATTTCACTTTTGAAATTTTTCAGTTCTTCGATAGTTATTTTCAAATTTTCGAATTTTTGATTTTTCGATTTTTTGAAATTTTAGATGTTTGGATTTCTTGATTTATCGAAATTTTGAGGTTTCGATTTCGCGATTGCTCAATTTCAGGATTTTTCGATTTTTCAAAATTTCTATTTTTCAAATTTTGAATTTTCAGTCGTTTGATGTTTCGATTTCTCGATCGTTCAATTTTTCTATTTTTCAATTTTTCAGTTTTTCGATTTATCGATTATTTTTTTTAATTTACCAATTTTTCGATTTTGGGCTAATTAAAATTTCTCAATTTTTGACTTCTCGATTTTTCGATTTTTCGATCTTTTGATGTTTCGTTTCTCGATGTTTCATTTCAGTTCACTAATTTTTTGATGTGTTGATTTTACGGTTTTTCAATTTTTCGAATTTTTTTAGTTTTTGATGTTTCAGATTTGGGATTTTTCAGTTTTTTTATTCCTAAATCTTCTGATTTTACAATTTCTCGATTTTTCACTTTTCAATTTCTCGTTTTTCAACTTTTCAATTTTACGATTTTCAATTTTTTGATTTGTTGATTTTTCGATATTTCAGTGTTGACATTTTTAAATTTTTCGTTTCTTCAATGTCTTGATTTTTCAAATTTTCGATTTCTCTATTTCTCGTTTTCTAAACTTTTCGAATCTTCAGTTTTTGACATTTTTAAATTTTCGATTTCTCGTCTTCTCGATTTCTCGATTTTTCGAATTTTCAGTTTTTCAATTCTTAATTTTTCGAGTTTTCAGGTATTTTTTTCAATTTTTCGATTTTTAAAATTTTCTGAATTTGATTTCAAAGATTTTTCTTCGATTTTTCAATTTTTTAATATTTCAGTTTTGGAATTTTTCAATATTTCGATTCTTGAATTTTTCCTCTTTTCGTTTTTTTTACTATTTTAATTTTTCAATTTTTTACTTTTTTGATTTTTCAATTTTTTTATTTTTAAATTTTGAATTTTTTTTCAGTGTTTCGATACTTCAGTTGTGGGATTTTTCAATAATTTCCATTTTCCAATTTTTTCGGTTTCTCGATTTCTTGATTTTTTACATTTTCGAGTGTTTAATTTTTCGATTGTTTGATGTTTCGAATTTTCAATTTTTTTATTTTTCGGTTTTTCAATTCCAACTCGACTTTAAAAATTTTCAGTATTTCAGTTTTGGGATTTTTCGATATTTCTATTAAACTTTTAAATTTTTCGTTTCTTCAATTTCTCGATTCTTCAAATTTTCGATTTTTCTATTTATCGTTTTTAAAATTTTTCGGTTCTTCAATTTTTGACGTTTCCAAATTTTCGGTTTCTCGTCTTCTCGATTTTTCGAATTTTCAGTTTTTCAATTCTTCAATTTTTCGAGTTTTTCAGGTATTTGATATTTCAATTTTTCGATTGTTAAAATTTTCCATTTTTCGACTTTTCGATTTATCGATTCTTAATTTTTCGATTTCCCGATTTACCATGTTACAGTTTTGGGATTTTTCAATTTTTCGATTCAATTTTTTGATTTGTTGATTTTTCGATATTTCAGTGTTGACATTTTTAAATCTTTCGTTTCTTCAATGTCTTGATTTTTCAAATTTTCGATTTCTCTATTTCTCGTTTTCTAAACTTTTCGAATCTTCAGTTTTTGACATTTTTAAATTTTCGATTTCTCGTCTTCTCGATTTCTCGATTTTTCGAATTTTCAGTTTTTCAATTCTTAATTTTTCGAGTTTTCAGGTATTTTTTTCAATTTTTCGATTTTTAAAATTTTCTGAATTTGATTTCAAAGATTTTTCTTCGATTTTTCAATTTTTTATTATTTCAGTTTTGGGATTTTTCAATATTTCGATTCTTGAATTTTTCCTCTTTTCGTTTTTTTTTACTATTTTAATTTTTCAATTTTTTACTTTTTTGATTTTTCAATTTTTTTATTTTTAAATTTTGAATTTTTTTTCAGTGTTTCGATACTTCAGTTGTGGGATTTTTCAATAATTTCCATTTTCCAATTTTTTCGGTTTCTCGATTTCTTGATTTTTTACTTTTTCGAGTGTTTAATTTTTCGATTGTTTGATGTTTCGAATTTTCAATTTTTTTATTTTTCGGTTTTCAATTCCAACTCGACTTTAAAAATTTTCAGTATTTCAGTTTTGGGATTTTTCGATATTTCGATTAAGTTTAAATTTTTCGTTTCTTCAATTTCTCGATTCTTCAAATTTTCGATTTTTCTATTTATCGTTTTTTAAATTTTTCCGGTTCTTCAATTTTTGACGTTTCCAAATTTTCGGTTTCTCGTCTTCTCGATTTTTCGAATTTTCAGTTTTTCAGTTCTTCAATTTTTCGAGTTTTCAGGTATTTGATATTTCAATTTTTCGATTGTTAAAATTTTCCATTTTTCGACTTTTCGATTTATCGATTCTTAATTTTTCGATTTCCCGATTTACCATGTTACAGTTTTGGGATTTTTCAATTTTTCGATTTTTCGATTTTCTATTTTTCGATTAATAAATTTTAGATTTTTCAATTTTTTATGTTTTGGTATTTCGATTCCTCAATTTTTCTATACTTTAATTTTCACGTTTTAGAAATTTAGATTTTTCGATATCTCAATGTTTGAATTTTCAAATTTTAAATGTTTCAGTTTTTTGATTTTTCGATTTCTCGATTTATCGAAAATTCTATGTTTGGATTTGTCGATCGTTCAATTTCTCGATTTTTCGGCTCTTCTCTTTTTAGATTTTTCAATTTTTCAATTTTTAATTTTTCGATTTTGGGTCAATTAGAATGATTCAAAGTTTTGACTACTTGACTTTTCGATTTTTCTTCATTTCACTTTTGGAATTTTTCAACTTTTCGATTTTTCAGTTCTTCGATAGTTATTTTTCAATTTTTCGAATTTTTAAATTTTTGATTTTTCGATTTCTTGACATTTTAGATGTTTCGATTTCTTGATTTATCGAAATTTTGAGGTTTCGATTTCGCGATTATTCAATTTTTCCATCTTTCGATGTTTCGTTTCTCGATGTTTCATATCATTTTTCGATGTTTTGATTTAGTTTTTCGATTTTATAAATTTTATGGTTACAGATTTTTCAGTTTTTCAATTCTTCGATTTTTCATTCGATTTCTTGACATTTTGGTTTTTCGATTTTTAGATTTCTCATGGATACTTCAATTTTTCGTTAAAAAAAAAGTTGTGGAGGCGCCGGGCATCGATCCCGGTACCTCTCGCATGCTAAGCGAGCGCTCTACCATCTGAGCTACGCCCCCTGTACCTAACCCCCTCTCACAACCACAACCGTGACACTTCAGACCCACTTTCCAAAACCCAAAATAAAAAAAAATCCTGGAGGCGCCGGGCATCGATCCCGGTACCTCTCGCATGCTAAGCGAGCGCTCTACCATCTGAGCTACGCCCCCCGTGAAAAACACTAAACAAAAGGTGAAAAGCAGCCAAGAATGATCCAGTTTTAAACCGCCTTCATTACGAAAGACATAAAATAGGTGTTGGCCAAATGCCCGCGAGCCAACTCGCTCTCAATTCAGTCGAACGACCGTCACACGAGCAACTTTCACTCGTTTGATAGTTTTCAGCACGCGAGAACTCACTCATGCAGACGTCGCTCGTTCCCTCCGAACGGAACGGCTATTTTTAGAACGAAAACGTTATTTTTCCCTGAAGATTATTAAAAATTAACGTTTGACGCAGTAATTACACGGGGAATTCAGAGCGAAAATGAGAGCTTTGTGTAATTTCAAACATATACAGACGAAACACAGCTTTCGGACGATGCTGCGTCCGCTGCAGTATAGTTTGAGTGAAATGTGGATGTAATATATACAAGTCTACATAAGCCAGTCGTGTACCACACCACCTATAAACAACCCTCTCTATAAACCCCAATCATTCCTTGCCGCCGTTTCGCCCACCCCTAACACGACGCTTTTCTCCCCCATGTAAGACTATATCGTAACGTATTCGACTCTCTCCCATTACGAGGTCACGACTTTGCGTAGGGACGCCCCGTGACCAGAGTTCTAAACCTTTGTTTGTGGGAGTTTATCCGATAAACAAATCCGGAATGTTGCGTCCCTAGCAATTTGAAAAATCTCAAGGGGTGAATACATGTTTTTCATTAGAACGACGTTCCTTGTTTTACTCGTTAAATTTTAACACAGAAACGCGGACTGCAAAGTCCACATAGGACGAGAAGAATTCAACTGTCATCTCATCGTCCTCCAGTGCTACTCCGAGTTGTTCGATGGCTACATAGCGATCAAGAAAGTGGAAATCCCAGCAGTAAGTCACAATGTCTTGAAAACTAATCATCACACAATGTGTAGGAAAAATGTAGCGCGGCGTCGTTTAGCTTCATCTACGACTGGATGGTGAGCGAAGAGCAGTCCTACAAGTACTTGAACCGCGAAAACGTCCTAGACATCTTCAACTCAGCCAAGTACTTGAAAATAAAAGGTACGCGAGTACTAGTTTCCGAGTCCATGACCCAAACTGTGTTTAGACCTAGTGGAGCAGTGCTGGGCCTTCGTCGACAACGGCGAAGTCTTCAACGAAGACACGGCTTTCTTGTTGTACGTAGACGCGAAAATGAAGAACGTGGAAGAAGTACGCGAGTTGATGGTACCGCGAATCCAGGACTTTTTCCTGATTTTGGTGAGTTCGCAAGACTGGCTGGAGTTGAACGTCGACGACGTCAAGAACCTCTTGAGTTCCAACTACGTGAGGATCAATTGCGAAATGGAGGTGTTTATGTCTGCGGTTCGGTGGCTAAAGTACGACTGGACTAACAGAGACAAGTTCAAGTACGAGGTCTTGAATTGTGTGAGGTTCGGGAATATAGCGCCGTGGCAACTTGTTGATATCAAGCGGAATCCGGAAAATCCGGAGTTCATGGAGTTGGCGAAAGACTCGGCGATTTGTAAACTAATCGACGATGGACTTGCGTAAGTCGCTTGATTAAAAAAAAACTCACTGAGACAAGTTGTATTTAGGTTTGTTATAATCAAGTACTGGTACGGTCAAGAAAACGATGATTTTCAACACTGGAATTCGGTGTTGGGGCTCCAGGAACCACCCCCGAGAAACTGGAGCGGCTTGGATAAAACTTATTTCACGTATCGGGAGTTTTTGATCTACTTGGACCAGTACAGACGGAACCAGTTGATAGAGAAGAGCAAACCGAGAGCGATTCACGATAAAAAAATGGGAGCCGGGTCTGGGACTGTCATGTCGCCTGAAGAACCAGTCCACAGCATGGAAGACTTCCTTTCTAAGAAGAAAGTAAGTCCGCAGAGAAAAAAGTTGAGCAAAACTACATGGTAGAGGGACATTCCTATTGTAAATTCTATGTACAAATACACGTATGAGATTCTGTGTCACTTTTATTTAGTCATTCAAAAGGGGGCAAGAAGAATCCGGTTGGCAGCTGGTAAGCCTTGACACTTTTCGTTTCAGGTGTTTATCAAACAAACCCCAACAATCTTCCTCAAAAAAACCCAACCCATAGTTGTTCACAGGGAGGCTGTGGTTCTCCCTAAAACGGTAAGTGTTTCGGGGCACCTCTTCCAGCACGACCTCGTGGGAGACCAATCAGACGAAGAAAGCCGCAACTTGAAACGCATGTTCACACCTTCCCAAAACTCAATCGCTTTATCCTCCCTGTAAGTACCGCAATCCTTCTCTCACTAACCGTACCCAGAAACCGCCTAAGCACGTCTTTCCTGAGTCCCCAACCCAAGAAACTCCTCGTGGAATCTACGCTGTTCCTTCCGGAGCGCGAGACTATTCTGGTGTTCGGGGGCGCCGACCCCTACTCTCCCTACGGCGACCCTACTAACTCCGGGGACCACATCTTCCGGTACTTGCCGGACTCCAACGTGTGGGAGCACGTGGGTACTATGCCCGAGCCGAGGACACACCATGGGGTGGCGTTCCTCAAAGGGCGGATTTACTTGGTAGGTGGTACCGACCCTAGAGACGACGATTTGAGAGGGAAATCCCGGGTGGTGGACACAGTGTGGAGTTTCGACCCAGCGCACCGCTGCTGGTTCAGCGAGACGAGTCTAGGGATGAGAAGACGCAACTTCGGTTTGGTGGTCATCCACCAAAACATGTATGTGATCGGGGGGTGCAACGACCAGCTGCTGTCTCTAGCCACAGTGGAAAGATTCGACGCCAAACACGGCGTCTGGAGATTCGTAGCCCCCATGAATTTCGCCAGAGCAGGAGTGGCTTGCGCCAAATACAGGAATTATATCTGGGCGGCAGGTGGTACCGCGGATTTAAAAAGAAATCTCATTATGGACGTGGTGGAGAGTTATGACGTGCGAGCAAACCAGTCAGTGAGTTGGGTAAGTACCAGAGAATCGTCCTGATTTGATAGTTACAGATGGACGAAAATACGCAAGTTGAATACCCCAAGGTGTCTAAGTTGTATGTTCGTCGTGTCGGATAATTTATACCTGATTGGCGGTACTGGGCCGAAATTTCGGGACTTGAAGTCCACCGGGAGTCTCGGAGACATGGATATATGGGACACGGCGACTATGTCGTGGACCACTATCGTAGGTCTAACGATTCCGCGGCATGGGCACGCCGTAGCCTACGTCGGTACCCAGATTTTCATCATGGGTGGCGTCACAACTGTCTACATGCGTTGTCTATCAAACATCGAGTGCTTCTGTTGGAAACGAAGTAAAAAAATCGACACCCCATACATTCTGATTTTTTTTTTACTTTGTTTGCAGACGCTTGGGTCCGAGGCATTTCAGAATTACCAATTACTTTGTCTGGTCATGCAGCAATTACACTCCCGCCCGCAATGCTCATATCGAACGAATAAAATAAATAAAACGCAAGCACTCTGTATATATACACTCAAACTAGAAACGCGCCACAAAGCAGACACCTGCACCACGGCGCGCCAGCTTCGGCGCGTTGCTCACAGAGGGCGCGCGCCTCCACAAGCACTCTTACACCATAACCAAAACCCCAAACAAAAAATTTAAACAAATTACTACAATTCTCCCCAGTTTCTGTCCCGTCTTGTTTAAAATATGTACTTGTAGCGTGTTTATTAATAAAAGCGTTTTTCCCTCCCCGGAATTTTCCATTTTCCTCGCCGACATTTTGGTCCGGTGTGAGTAGCTCTCACCCGATTTGATACTTGTGATTGGGTGCGGTAGTGTTGTAATTCGGTCCAAGAAAGTGGTTGTTTAAAGGGAAAAAGTGCAATTTTCGGCTAAAGGTGAGTTACTTTTGCTTGTTTGGCATGTTTTCATTCATTTGCGGGCGAAAACGTGCTGGGGTTTGCGGTTTGGGACGTTTTTCGGGGTGTCGATGAACTGGGAGTATGGCAACATGGATCTCTTTGTGAGTCACATTCGGATTTGTTTTTATTTGGAGGGTTTGTGGGGTTTGGATACAGGGTGTTTGCGGGAAAGTAGTGTGTGGGGTGGTTTGTGAAGACGCCGGTCGCGGTAAAATCGGGGCGGATAGACCAGGAAGTGCGTGCGGATTTTCATACTTCATCAAAATTCCAGTGGGATTTGTAATGCAGTGATTCTGAGAAGTGTCATTTGTGTTTCAGGTGTGGTGTGGTAATTCAGTATGAGTTACCTACAGTCCAGCCAAAATAGACCGAGTAAGTGGTTTTTTTAATTTGTTGTTGAATTGGGGCGCTTTTTGATTAAATAAGTGAGGTAGTTTGGGGTTTAATTAGGGAGTTTAAGAGGGGATTGACAAAGGGACGTTCCGACTAATAATGTGAGTGTAAAACAAATATGAGTCGGGATATTGCTCAGGAACTAGTCCAGATGGTACATGTAATGAATTGTTTGGTTAGACGGTTGTTTTAACGTTCAGATCTGTGTTGATATTAAATCTGCATTGAAATTCGTGAACAAAAGTTGTGTATACGGACTGTACTGTATGGAAATTCGGATGTTTTTGACTGAATTTTGATTACTCAAGACTTAAAATAATAGTTATTGCTATAACGAACAACATTGTTGATTTTTTGTTACATAAAACTTGCGCTTGGCAGCACTGATTTAAGATCAACTGCAAACACTTGACATGTCATTCGTAAAAGCACCTATATACATCAAATAAAGTTGTTTATTTCCTGTGAAAATAATCATTTTTGAAACAGAGGTAGAAAAGTTTCAACAATCAGGTTATTCCAAGAAATTCGAACTGATGTAGGTTTCTTTAATTTTCTTTATTGTGATGATTAACTCCATCGAACACGTATTAGTCATCAATTATCGTGTTTATGCCATTACCTAAATTGTTTTATGATGGCTGTAACTTAAAAGTATTCTTCAGAACAATATTTCCACTCTGTTTGCGTATGTCATTGTCAATTGATAAATAACCAGTTACCATTTACAGAAAACTCGGCACGGATTCGTCAGTTCAAAATCTCGTCTAAAACGGGTCGACCGCCGTCACAAATTAAAAAATAAAGTCCCGGGAAAATCGCTGCAATGTTCCGGTGTAATTTCCCGAAATCCCTCTTGCCGGGATAAAATTGGTACCTTTTTTAGGGGAACGATACAATACACATTGGACTTTTACGACGACCCAAGAGCCATCTTAATCTTGTTTATTCAGAATGCGGGACTTCTCGTCGGAGATCTTGTTTGAGATCAATAACTGCTAAAATATTTTTGTCGCTGCCCTTTCATCTTTTCCGGGAACCGTATTGGCTAAATTTGCATTTCTAATATATCGTCATTGATTCTTCAATACCTGCTATGTGCAAAATTGAAAATTGTTCAGGAAACACAATAAACTGATTACAAAAAAAAGGGAGTCCTTGTTCGTTTGGTTTAGTCACTTAACAAAATAATAATTTGCTTAAGATACATTTAGTTTACAGAAAATAACGTTTTTAGTGCAGTTGTTTATTAAAACTCATTTAATGTTGCTAATTTTCACATAGCAGTTTTTTCATAGCTCAGCTTTTGCACATGTCATTTATTTCACAATACATGTAAATTAATCTCTATTAATATAATTAACAACTTTTATTGGAAAGTTATTTTATTTAAACCAAAAATACAAAAACATTAAAATAAAATAATAATAATAATACTAATAAAAATCGTTGACTTATAGATAATTTTTCGCAGGTTACGTATATAAAATATTTTTGTCAATTTGTCTTCAAATAACTGAGAACTGCGGGGAAAATATTTCAAAAATCCCCAAAATTTCCAAAAAATTTCAAATTGTTCCAAATGGCTTTATTTGAGAGGGAAACATTGATTTTCTAGTTTTATAGAGTATTAATCGCAAATTTAACTTATGCAATCCTAGCCCCGCCAACTCACCCTCTATTTTCTTAAAGAGTATATCATTTCCCAAAAATTGTCTTATTTTCGCAAGTACTAGTCCCTCCCACTTTCTCTCTATTTTCTTAGGGGGTATGTTATTTGCTAAAATCAGTTTCTTTCTTAGTAAATACTAGCCCCGCCCACCCGCCCTCTCTTTTCTTGTAGGATATGTCATTTGCCAAAATCAGTCTTACCTAAGCAAGTACTAGGCCCGCCCACCCGCCCTGTATTTTTTCTAGGAGGTATATCATTTGCCAAAATCAGTCTTATCTTAGCAACTACTATATTATATATTCAAATGGCAAAATAAAATATTAAACAATAATTAAATAGTACTTGTAAGATAAGACTAATTTTGACAAAACACATACCTTCCAAGAAAGTAGAGGGCGGGCGGGCGGGGCTAGTACTTGCTAAGATAAGACTGATTTTGGCTAATGAGACACCTTCTAAGAAGAGAGAGGGTGGGTGGGCGGGGCTAGTATTTGATAAGATAAAACAGATTTTCGCACTTTTAACATTTTCGACTATTTTTCAACTATTTCCGAAAATCAGCGAGAAAAGTGAGAAAAATTTTTCGTAATTTCCAAAAATTTTTTGTCTGAAACAGTTAAAAGACGATCTGACCCAACGGAAAATAGTTGGCTTATAGATAATTTTTCGCAGATTACGAATCTAAAATATTTTTGACGATTTGTCGTCAAATAACTGAGAAATGCGGGGAAATGACTCCAAAAATCCCCAAAATTTCCAAAAAAATTGAAATTGTTCTAAATGGCTTTATTTGAGAGGGAAGCATTGATTTTCTAGTTTTATAGATTATTAATCGCAAATTTAACTTATGTAATCCTAACCCCGCCCACTCACCCTCTATTTTCTTAAAAAGTATATCATTTCCCAAAAATTGTCTTATTTTAGAAAGTACTAGTCCCTCCCACTTTCTCTCCATTTTCTTAGGGGGTATGTTATTTGCTAAAATCAGTTTTTTTATTAGCAAATACTAGCCCCGCCCACCCGCCCTCTCTTTCCTTGTATGATATGTCATTTGCCAAAATTAGTCTTATCTTAGCAAGTAAGTACTACAATAATATTATATCTGTAGTTTTATTCAATAATGGTTCAAATAATTAATAATTTTTATCATACTTACGGTATACTTTGAATTAAAACACCGCAAAAAACTGCACTATTTTCATTAACACGTGAGGCGGGATGATTTTCCTGGATAACGTACTCATGCGCAAACTGTTATGTGCAACACACTGGCAATAATATTATAAATGTAATATCTGCTATGTGTATTACATGCACATAGCAGATATTTCGAGCGGTTGTTTGACTACCAACACATGACAGGTTTTTTCTTTTTTAATTTAAAAATACCCGCGAATTTTTAACACATAGCAGTTATTAGCATTCGACGTGCTATATTTCTTACAATCAAATCATGAACAAACCTAAAAATGGACAAAAAGTGCACATAGCAGGTATTGCAGAATCAACGACGATATGGGGTTTTTTCAAGTCGGAAAAATACGATTTTATTTCGTCGAGTTGGTGCAATTTTGCTGGTGGACGCTGAGTTGTTTATAACAACACACGATAAATTTCCTTTTACTGAACGTTGTTTATGATGAAAGCATTGATTTTGTGGTAGATGCCAATTGATGTTCGGAACGTCTTGTAGTAGGTTTTAAATAAACTATTTTTATGTCGTCAGACTTTAAATTTCAGGAGTCGTCTTTTCAGTTTTAATTCCGCAATTAATTTACCCTTGAAGATTAATTACGACGAGAGGCGCTTGAAATACTTAAAAAAATTCCACTCATTGACAGAGTTGTATCGGTTTTTTTAACAGCTAATGATTTTTCCCAGATCGACGTTTTTTTCTGCAGTGAGTCACATTTCTGTGAAAGATAAAAGATAAGTGTTTAAACTTTTTAACGAATACGTTACTGAATTTTTATCTCGCGATAAGGACCTGGAAATATGGATAAACAGTTGATGAAAATAGTTCGGTACACAAGATAACAGATCTTAGAACTGATATGGTACGTTCTCGAATACAAACATAATTAATGAGAACTAGAGAAACTCACCAGTTTTCAATTCTGTTATTTTGATAAAAAATAGTTCGTCGTGATTTATTGTTCCAACTTTCCTCCTCAGTCTCTCAGGGTCACTACCAGGGTCCAGACGACCTCCCCATGCCCCCCGCCAAGGAGCAGACCCTAATGTGGGCTCAAAATTCGTATTTGACCGACTCCGGTATCCACTCCGGTGCCGCCACCCAGGTCCCTTCTCTCAGCGGTAAAGAAGAAGAAATGGACCTCTTCGACTTGGACCAGGGTTACTCCCAAGGCTTCACCCAAGACCAAGTCGACGAAATGAACAACCAACTCAACCAGACTCGCTCCCAGCGAGTTCGAGCTGCAATGTTCCCCGAAACTCTCGACGAAGGTATCGAAATTCCTTCGACCCAATTCGATCCCAGTCAGCAGACGGCTGTTCAACGACTCTCCGAACCCAGCCAGATGCTCAAGCACGCTGTGGTCAATCTGATTAATTATCAAGACGACGCCGACTTGGCCACGCGAGCCATCCCCGAGTTGATCAAACTTTTGAACGACGAAGACCAAGTCGTGGTGTCCCAAGCGGCGATGATGGTGCACCAATTATCGAAAAAGGAAGCCTCGAGGCACGCCATCATGAACAGCCCCCAGATGGTGGCGGCTTTAGTTCGGGCGATTTCAAACTCGAACGACTTGGAAACGACCAAAGGGGCCGTCGGCACCTTGCACAAGTTGTCGCACCACAGGCAAGGGTTGCTGGCGATTTTTAAAAGTGGGGGGATCCCGGCGCTGGTGAAGCTGTTGAGTTCGCCGGTGGAGAGCGTGCTCTTCTACGCGATCACCACTTTGCATAACTTGCTGCTGCATCAAGATGGGTCCAAGATGGCTGTGCGGCTCGCGGGGGGTTTACAGAAGATGGTCGCGCTGCTGCAGAGGAACAACGTCAAATTTTTGGCGATCGTTACCGATTGTTTGCAGATTCTCGCGTATGGGAATCAAGAGAGTAAGTTGATTATTTTGGCTTCGCAAGGTCCGATCGAGCTCGTAAGGATCATGAGGTCCTACGACTACGAGAAGCTTCTGTGGACGACTTCTCGTGTGTTGAAGGTAAGTTCGTGAAGGTATACCAAGGGTAGATCGAGAGCGATTTTTCTGTAGGTATTGTCGGTCTGTCCAAGCAACAAACCGGCCATAGTTGAAGCCGGAGGCATGCAGGCTTTGGCCATGCACCTAGGCAACCCTAGCGGTCGCCTCGTCCAGAACTGCCTCTGGACTCTCCGCAATCTGTCCGACGCTGCCACCAAAGTAGACGGCTTGGAAGGCTTACTCAGCTCTCTAGTCCAAGTTCTCAATTCGCAAGATGTCCACGTCGTCACGTGTGCTTCAGGCATCCTCAGCAACCTCACTTGCAACAATCAGCGCAACAAAGTCACCGTGTGTCAAGTAGGAGGCGTCGATGCTCTCGTGCGCACCATCGTCAGTGCCGGAGACCGCGAAGAAATCACCGAACCGGCAGTTTGCGCTTTGCGCCATCTCACATCACGACACGTCGAGTCCGAGATGGCCCAGAACGCGGTCCGACTGAACTACGGCATCCAGGTCATCGTCAAACTGTTGAACCCTCCGTCGCGTTGGCCCCTAGTCAAGGCCGTCATTGGCCTCATTAGAAACCTGGCGCTGTGTCCGGCCAATCACGCTCCGTTGAGGGAACACGGGGCCATACACCACCTGGTGCAACTGCTGATGCGGGCGTTCCAGGACACCCAGAGGGTAAGCGAAATTGGGTTTAAATTTCGGTGAAGTCCATAACGTGTGTTGGCGCAGAGGGCGAGCGTGGCCAGCGGCGGCAGCCAGCAAACGGCGAACTACGCCGACGGCGTCCGAATGGAGGAAATCGTCGAGGGGACGGTGGGGGCGCTCCATATATTGGCACGAGAGTCGCACAATCGGGCCATTATTCGCCAACAAATGGTGATACCCATATTTGTGCAACTCTTGTTCAATGACATAGAGAACATCCAGCGCGTGGCTGCTGGAGTCCTCTGCGAATTAGCAGCTGATAAAGAAGGAGCGGAGATGATCGAACAGGAAGGCGCTACGTCGCCGTTGACTGAATTGCTTCATTCGCGAAATGAAGGTATTTTTTCTGGAGTTTGAATGTCGTTTTTTTACGTTTTTCTTGATTGAAGGCGTGGCGACGTATGCGGCTGCAGTTTTATTCCGAATGAGCGAGGACAAACCTCAAGACTACAAGAAGAGGTTGAGCATGGAGTTGACGAATTCCCTGTTCCGTGAAGAAAATCTGTGGAATCCCGACTTGGGGATGGAACCCGATTTACAGGTACGAATGAGTTTGTTTCGCGATTGATTTGAAGACAGGTATGTAAGCGACTCAGTAGTTATCATTTTTATTTTTGTATGCTCACTACAACACCTTAGCCTTAATTTATGACTTTTTGGCTTGTTTTGTGTTTTTGTTTGCATTGTCACACATTTTAGGACATTTTGAGTCCTGACCAGGCGTACGATCCCATGTACGTACAAGGGCCACCCAGCGTCCATAGCAATCACGGTGGGCGGACGTACCAGCAACAAGGTAAATTTCCGTTCCATTGAATTAACAGCCTTAACAGCTACGTAACTCATACACATTTGTGTAATAATTATTTGTTTCTACTAAATCTACTCCAGAATTTTAACAAGAACTGCGCCTGGGTGACTTAACATAGGTAAATGCGTGTTCGCATGGATCGTAGAGTATGGGTAGAAATAAAAGCATGCGATTTGTAGCGATTCGTGGTAGTGTGAAGGGTTGGTTTTAATTGGGGGTTGTTTCTCAGGGTATGACCAGATACCAATAGATATCCAGGGACTGGAGATCGGTTCCCACGGAGGCGGTAATGGATCGACGTACAGCCCGATAGACGCAATGGAAATTGCGAACACCGAACCCGATTTATTTGATCCCGTTGATCAATTACCTGCACCTCCCCAAGACAACAACCAAGTCGCAGCTTGGTACGATACCGACTTATAAAAGTATGGTAATTAACTTCCTTGGTGTTGTTTTGTTTTATTAAGATTAGACTTATCGTTTTGTTTTTGATAAGAATCCTAACGCGACGCTTAGGATTTTTTTATCATGTAAGGTATTATAGCGTACGATTACATAATAGCGAGTAAAATAACTGTACGTGTACAAGTTTTCATTTACATATTATATTGAGCAATTTAAATTATTTACATTAAAAATCATTTTTTATGCTGTATGATTATAAGAGCTAAAACACAATGACTGATGTGTTTGATAGTTGTTTCAAAAAAAATCTAAATGTGAATGTACAAAATGTCATTGTATCCTAACTTTTTTTAATAAAAATGTTTAATTAATATTCTGTTTTTGTTTTTACTCAGGTTTTTGTTTAGGTGCGGATGTATTCTCTTGTTGGCGATGTGTTCTGTATTTGCACCAACATTGTGTTTTAATTCTTAGTATATTTAAAATTTCCTAAACAGGGTAGAACTTTGAGGCACTGCCTTTGAAATGTATGCATGTCTTTGTAGGAAGGAATAAACTTTCTCATTGTACAGTTGTTTTCTTACGAATCCACACAGATTGTTGACAAAAGGAAAATGGGTCAAGAATGCAGCAGCTGATTAAGTGATTATACTGGATTGTTGGTTGCCTATATTAAAATTAAAAATATTAAATATTAATGAAATTTTCATTCGTTGGCAGATCTAGGGGTCATCACAATTAAGATCGGGTGGGTGGGCGGGGTTTATATTTTGCCTTTTATTATTAATGTACGTAGTATTCTTTGAACAACACTGAAAAACATGTTTTTAATTTCTTGTAAAGAAGTAAGTATTTTGCAGTTAAGCTCCGCCCTCTTGGTTCACGGCGAATAAAAAAATTGGTCTAAAGAGTTTAGACAGTACTACCCTCGCTGTCGGAAACTTGACGACTGCATGGCTATTGTGTTTTTTTCTCATTACATTTTTGTAGTGGGAATTTAAAAAAAATTGCGATGACGTCATCAACATTTTTGCAAGGACACGTATATCAGTTGGGATAGATGTAGTGTAATACTAAGAATAAAATTATTATATTCTCAAATTTTCGGGAAAATGAATTGGGTCGTTTTGAATATTGATTTTTTATAATCAATAAAATAACGAAACAATTTACTCGCGTATACGGCAACTGAAAATCGTTTATGTATAAACATTCTTAATTTAAGATGACAAGCGTAACAGCATACGTGAAAGTCAAACAGAGAAACTGTAAACAAAACGACCATCGGTTTTATTGCTTCGACTTCCGCTTATTATATAAAACATTGGGTTTTATTTTAATTCTTGACGGTGAAATTCACAATTGGTTGATTATAAACATGTCTATTTCACATTCGCGGAACCAAGTGATCGCATAAAACAAATGCAGGTCTGTAATGTTAAAGTGGATGTAAATAAGCGATGCTACCCTTATGTTTCAACCGAGTTTTTCCTTTAACAAATTTTGTGTCTACCAAATTGGGTTGGTTGGGGTGTAATACTAATAATAAGTGTTGCCTTTAATTTAATCAATAAAATAAATTGACTTCATTAATTTTTTTGAACCACCTCTTAAGAAAATCTAAAAAATATGAATGGAATGATAAATCACAAGTACAAACTCATCATATTTTTTGCATTTTAGATAGGATTTATTCAGCAAAATTTAAGGGTGACGTCATCAATTTTTTTAGGAGGGATGAACAAAAATACATTTTGAACAAAAGTTTACCATGCTTATAATAACATTAAAATATTCCCAAGATTTCAAAGCATTCGGTTTTGTAATTCCTGATTAAATCGATAAAATAAATTCACGCCTTCATTAATTTTTTTGAGTCACCCTGCATATGCAAATCCAAAAATATGAATGGAATGATAAATCACAAGTACAAACTCATCATATTTTGTACATTTTAGATACGATTTATTCGGCAAACTTTTGAGCTGACGTCATCAGTTTTTTGTAGAAGATAACCAAATATATTTTGACTAAAAATTTATTATGCTCTTTATAACCTTAAAACATCTGCAAGATTTCAAAGCATTCGGTTTTGTAGTTCCTGATTAAATCAATAAAATTAATTTACGCATTCATTAATTTTTTTGAGTCACCCTGTATATGCAAATCGAAAAAATTTGAATGGAATGATAAATCACAAGAAGAGACTCACCATATTTTGTACATTTTAGATAGGATTTATTCAGCAAAATTTTGTGGTGACGTCATAAATTTTTTAGGGGGGACGACCAAATACATTTTGATCAAAAATTTACCATGCTTATGATAATTTTAAAATATCTTCAAGATTTCGAAGCATTCGGTTTTGTAGTTCCTGAGTAAATCAGTAAAATAAACTTACGCTTTCATTTATTTTCTTGAATCACCCCGTATATGCAAATCCAAAAAATATGAATGGAGTGATAGATCACAAGTACAGACTGATCATATTTTGTACATTTTAGATATGATTTATTCGGCAAATTTTCGAGCTGACGTCATCAAGTTTTTGGAGGGGATAAGCAAATATATTTTGACTAAACATTTATTATGCTCTTTATGACCTTAAAACATCTGCAAGATTTCAGAGCATTCGGTTTTGTAGTTCCTGATTAAATCAATAAAATATATTTACGCATTCATTAATTTTTTTGAGTCACCCTGTATATGCAAATCCAAAAAATATGAATGGAGTGATAGATCGCAAGTACAGACTCATCATATTTTGTACATTTTAGATATGATTTATTCCACAAACTTTTGAGCTGACGTCATCAAGTTTTTGGAGGGGGTAAGCAAATATTTTTTGACTAAAGATTTATGATGCTCTTTATAGCCTTAAAACATCTGCAACATTTCAAAGCATTCTGGTTAGCAGATTAAAAATTAAATTTCAAAATGTTGTTTTATAATTTTGATTTTTTTTCCAAAAATCTGGACGTTTCGGGTGAAAAGTCGATTCGGAGTTGTAAACTACATGTGTAGGACTATGTTATTTTATACAATTGAAAACCCATTTACTATGTACAATTTTGAAGTGACGTCATCGCATTAGTGGTGGGGATGATTAGACAAATTTTGGTTAGCGTTTTACCATCTACATGATATTCTTAATATAAGTACAAAATTTCACAACAATCGGTCGAGTACTTTCGGAGATTGTCTGTCTAATAAAAATCCGGGACAACAGACGGACAGACGGACAGACGGACAGACAGACAGACGGACAGACAGACGGAAATGGGAGACCTATTTCTTCGTCTTCTAGGGATCATGAAAGATCGAGAAAACGTAAAAGTAGAGAGTCGGCCGACGGACTCGATTACAATACTTCCTTTGCTTACGCTCGGGAAGTAAAAATCATCACAATGGAGACAGGGCGGGTGGGCGGGCTTACATTTTGCCTCAACACAACGTGGAACTTAAAACATGTTTAAAGTGGAAAATTTGTATAGGGAAATATCGATTTTGCAATTAGGCGCCGCCTCATAATTGCAAAATCCATATTTAATTTACAAAAATGTACCATTAACCATGTTTTAAGTTTCTTGTTGTGAAAAGATGGCTATTTATTAAGCAAAAAGGGAAAATATAAGCCCCGCCCACCCGCCCTATCTCAATTCTGATGATTTTTTTTATTCGTCTTAAGCCGAGGGGCAGAGATTATTTGTAAAATCCTTATTTTTCTACAAGAAATTACCATGTGAAATATCTTCTTAAGTAATCGTATTATAAGTGTGAAAATGAGCCGAAAATTTTCAAAATTAGAGTAGTTCTAAATTATATTATTTGCTGATATCAAATTCAACTTCTGTGTCACAACCAATAAAATGAGTCATCAAAACGGAGTAGGGGTGGGTGGGGCTAGTTTTAACTTCTTAGATTCTACCTCTTGTTTATTCAAAATTCAACTCCTATTTTACAGAAAATAAAAAGTTGAAGTCAGTAAAATAAAGGAAGGAAGTGGGTTGAGCTAAGTTTATCTTTTCGCTACAGAGACTTTAAGCAAGCAATAGCCCCGCCCACTCTTGATTCTAGTGATCACTCTTAATATTATTAATTAATTACAACGTTATTATCCTACTGGAGTCTTAGACAAAGGGGTGGAATCTTTGCCGAAAAAGTATTGAAGAAGTCTAAAAAATTTTTGTGGAAAATATTAAGTTGGTGCTAGATCAGCATATCAGATGTGAGAATTATATTCAAAAAATAATATTACTGATGCTCCTCCCACTAGCAGAAGCTCCTCCTTATTAAGTCATTTCATTGGTCTAAAGAAAAGGGATGGCGTTTACACTTGTACCTCATGATACGGCAGTCGTTTTTCGTATACCTAACAATTAAAATTTTATTAAAAAAAATGTAGTTCCAGATTGTTTTATTTGCTGATATAAAATCCAACTTCTGTGTCACAACCAATCAAATGAGTCATCAAAACGAAGTAGGGGTGGGTGGGTGGGGCTACTTTTGTCTTTGTTTTAAATCTTCGTTTCTACCGCTTACCAGTTCAGAATTCAATTCCTGTTTTACAATTAATAAAATATTAAGGTAGTGAAATGAAGAAAGGAAGTGGGCGGAGCTAAATTTACTTTTTTCTCTACAGGGTCTTGATTCTAGTGACCAGTTTTAATATTGTTAATTAACGACAACGTTATTATCTGATTGAAATTAAAATTTCCGTTTCAGGGCCAATAAAATGAGTCATCAAAACCGAGTAGGGGTGGGTGGGTGGGGCTAGTTTTTACTTTGTTTTAGATCTCAATTTAACTCCTGTTGTACACTAAATCAAATATTAAATTGGTGGACTTTAGGAAGGAATTGGGCGGGGCTAAGTGCACTTTTTGTCCACAGAGTCTTTAAGCAAGCAACTAAAGAGTTCAATCGACTGAAAATTGCTGTCAAATTATAGATAAGCTTCCGGTAATTACTAATCCGAAACGCCGTCACGATATCTATTCAAATAAACGTGAAAAATGAGCTAAAATTTTCAAAATTTTTCAAAAAAAATGGTCAACATGAGTTCAATCGACTGAAAATTGGTTTCAAATATTGAAGCCAAAGTTTAAACCCCGCTCATACCTGCCCTGATCTAAATAGTCATGAAATTTTCATTCGTTGGCAGACCTAGGGGTCATCACAATTGAGATCGGGTGGGTGGGCGGGGTTTTTATTTTGCCTTTTATTCTTAATGTACATAGTATTCTTATAACAACACTGAAAAACACGTTTTTAATTTCTTGTAAAGAAGTAAGTATTTTGCAGTTAAGCTCCGCCCTGTTGGCTCATGACAAATAAAAAAATCATCACAATTGAGATAGGGTGGGTGGGTGGGGCATGTATTTTGCTTCTATTTTTCTTAATATACATAGCTATCTTTGCACAACAAGAAACTTAAAACATGGTTAAAATAGTTTTGCAAGGAAATATGGATTTTGCAATTATATATTGTGAAAAGGTAGCTGCGTATATTAAGAAAAATAAAGGCAAAATATAAGCCCCGCCCACCCGCCCTATCTCAATTCTGATGATTTTTTTTATTCACAGTGAACCAAGACGGCGGAGATTAACTGCAAAGTACTTATTTCTTTACAAGAAATTAAAAATATGCTTTTGAGTATGGTGTTGTTCAAAAAATACTTACAATTTTTGTAGGGAAATATGGATTTTGGGATTTGGCTCCGCCTCTAGGTTTGTCAACGAATGAAAACTTGATTAGTAGATTAGTACATATTTAGATCAGGGCAGGTTTGGGTGGGGCTTAATCTTTGATTTTAATTTTTTCTTAATATACATGGTATTCTTTGAACACGATACTCAAAAGCATGTTTTCAATTTCTTGTAGAGAAATAAGGATTTTACAGTTAAGCTCCGCCCTCTTATGTATTTAACTGCAAACCCACTCATTGTGACAGCGATTGCACTCGATGAACGAATTTGTCTGATGACATAAGTAACATTTTGGCCTTGTTTTCCAATGTTTTTTTTCTGTTCCATTCTTAGCTCAAAAAAATGCCCGGCATGTTTTCACGATGCGACATTTCCTGTTTTCCATTTGCGTGTATCTTCATTGTTCGTTTCGTAACAACAATTAAACAACCCATAAACATAAAACAAGCTCTGAAATCCCTACATAAACAAATAATCCGGTTACGCTGACGTTATACCAATTCACGCCAAAAATAGCCTTACGCATGTGTCAACAACCGACTGCAGCCCGTATTACACCCACAAATCCCCAAAAAAAGAAAAACAACAAGTAAATTCCGCATATTTTCGGTCGAGTTTTAATACGAAAATAAAATTATTTTTACGCTTGTTCTGTTGCTCAAAAGTTGAGATAAATTTGCGCCGCTCTAAAATTCCTGCCATCGTGTAAACGCCATTTTATAACCTTGTTTTGTCGTAAGTGACTCCATGAAAACATGGACGCGTTGGTATCAATTTAACCAAAAGTAGTGTTTATTAATTAAACAAGTGCAGTTATATTGCTGGTAATCGCCGTATTTCCTTTGGTAAGTGTTAAACAAGCAATAAATTGTAAATAAATCGCGTTCCTAACACGAGCCTCCCGTTACAAGCATGGCTTATCTCTTTGTGAGTGGGTGCATGCATTTAACATCAAAGGAATGCATTTTTTAACGAAATTAACAATTGCGTAATGCAAAACCAGTGATTTTCGTTGATTTTCGTCATTTTTACACAGGTACCTGTTCGCTATGAGTTTCCTGCAACAAAACGCAAACAGAACAAGTAAGTTTTCGAATTGTTCATTAATCAAACAAAAATGACGATTTTTCGCGAAATAGTGCCTCAGGGGCACTTCCAGCGTGCCCCCAACGACCTCCCGGTCATGTCCGCGAAGGAACAAACCCAAATGTGGCACCAGAACTCCTACATGGATGACTCTGGGATCCACTCGGGTGCTTCCACCCAAGTCCCATCCATCAGCAGCAAAGAAGAGGAGATGGACCTCTTCGACCTGGACACGCACAGGTTCACACAAAATCATGACGAGATCAACCAAACCGGCCCCCAAACAGTACCTGCCACCATGTTCCAAGACACCTTGGACGAAAACATTGACATTTCCTCGCCGCAGTTCCAACAGTGTGTTCCGGAGCCGCCCCCGGAAATCGAAAAGCAACACCCGGTGAATTTGATGGACTATCAGGACGACACGGACCTAGTAAGTCTTATTAGTAGCATTGTTTAAGTATATTATAGTTGGACAACCTAATACAAATTTTACTTCGCCTAAATAGTGAGCTTTAGGACAAGGAATCCAGGGGGCGTGGGACAATTTTTTCGTCAACGCGCATTTTCACTACAGTGAGCCAACGTATTAGGTTTATTTTACCCTAAATTAGATGGCGCCATCAAACATTAGTAAAGGCAAACACCCTTCACTCTGCTCTTATACGAGGAGTTATCCATAAATCCATAATTAACATTGTTCCGTAAACAGTAATGTGTATAAACATATATGTACAAAATATGAAAATATACTTGACACAAAAAATATGAAGCAACGCGTTGTAACGTGATAAGAAAGAATTGAATTTACATGAATTTGACGCATATTTTTATTTGACTATATCTGAAGACTGACAGAAACTTTCCAAGGGTTTTTAAACTGGTATAATTGTTTAGTTTTACAAGATTAAAGTAAAACAAGATTTTAAGTAAAATTTAGATTCGTGGTGTTACAAAAATATTAACACAAAATGAAAATATATGTTCAAAGTAAATAACAGAATGACATAAACTTTCGGCGTTAACATTACAAATAATTACAAAAGAGAAAAAAACGCATTAAGAACTTAAGAGGCATGTTTGTAATATTGAGTTGTTGAAGGCTGCTTTGAAGACTGTTTGTTTCTATGAAAAACAATTGCTGTTATCGGATATTTTGTTCCAAAAATACGAGATAACTAATTGTTTCTTGAACTAGTTTCCGTAACTTCTAAAATTTAAAAAGGATACGCCGTTCTGCTGTAATAAAATCTAGAATAAGGTCAAAATCACACTAATATTACATCTGATTTTGTTAACCACATGAATATAATTTACATTAAAATAAGTTACAGACATTGTTTGAAATGTTTATTATAGTTCGAAAACAAGATAAAATAAATAAATAAATAAATAAAATGTGCAGTTTATTAACTTCAGAATTTTAGTATAAAAATAATTATGTTTGAAGCTTTATTTTGTCTGTTCGATTTTATTGGGTGTATTGGGCCCCTCTCGGGATATAACACCGATATCATTGCACTGACCCAACGTTCTTCAACCCATGGGATGATTTATTACTTCCGTTATGCTGGCCCTACACACAGCGAGTTGGTTTTCGGATTTTCGGCTAGATCTGCACAGTTAACTCTTTGCGCACTGCACACTGACATAGAGTATTTTGTTCACGCGAGCATCAAAAACATTACGCCGAAAGCACTTCTTCAAGTGTTATTTTTTTTAAGATGTCGTATTTGTCAGCGTCTCCAAAATTTTCATCTTTGCACAGGTCAACTAATTTTTCGTAAACCGCATTTTAAAATTTTTGTTATTGTATTTTTTAATTTTTAATTTTCTAAGGCATGAAAAAATCCCATATAGGTTTCTATGAATTTATTAACGAAATCAACTGATAACTTGTGCGCCATTTTGTGTTAATTAACACCAATAGTGATTATGATAATTTTATAATTATCATTTTAATGAAATTGTGTTCTTCACTTCGCGAACGACAGCAAACAATTTAAAATTACCGCTAGTCAAGCACCTGAAAATCCATCTCTCCCAAATATGTCTTTCTTGGCACGATTTGTAATCCGAAGTCTCCCTCCACAAGCAATTTTTCGTCGCCTGAGAACTTGTTTGATCTACAGACCAAAGCACACTCAGGCCAATATCGGCTTTAAGGGTGGCGTCTGGTTCGGTTTCGCCCAATACTAAATGCATTGAAAACATCGTCGTAGTTTCCGGAATTGCATTTTTAAAATACTGAAATCTCCAACCAAGTCAGAATCTAAGTAAACCTGCATTCTGCTACCGCATCACAGCTCGTTTAATGCCGATTTCTCGTTTCAATAGATTTTGACTTTTCGCGAGTTATTTACCTCAGTCGTGGATTTTTTAATATTATAAATGGTATCAAAAGAAAGCTGACACTTTTCCCCAGGGGACCTCCCATCTCAGAATGCAAAAAACTTCAGCACTTCGTCAAAAAATGCATCAATGTGCCGGTTAAAATGTGATGTAAAAGTTGTTCAACTTTATAATTTTTTTTTGTAAAAACTGCATACTAGATATGAATATAAATATGGAGGTCCCCTGGACTGAAGTTTGTTAATTCGAAATATAATTTTTTTAAAGCGATATATCTCATATTTTTAAAATGCAACTCCGGAAACCGCGACGATGTTTTCAATGTATTTAGTATAGGGCTAAACCGAACCAGACGCCAGCCTTAAGCCATTTATCTATAAACCGATATTCGTTAGAGTTGATCTGATACACATCCACTACGAAGAACTAACCCATTTCGACCATTGGACTTTACAACGAATAAGTGAACAAAGTTCTTGAACATCTTAACGATTTAATGCATAATGTTCCCGAATGACAAAATTTACATTTCAAATTGTATTATCAAATTACACTCACCAAAATTTGTCACGAACAATGAAATGATGCAATCTCCAAATTTTACAATAGTAAAATTGTAGTTTCGCCCCGTTTACGGTTTATGCATCCGTGTCGAGTTTTCGCCTTAGACGTCAAGATTTTTGGAAAAAAAAATCAACATTTTCCAATTTATAATGTTATTTAAATTTTAAAACGTAGAATAGTCCTGATCTTGTGATTTATACCTAAATACGCTATTGGGATTTTTCGGCTTGTCGATTTCTCGATTTTTCAACTTTAAATGTCTCAATTTTTCAATATTTCAATTTTGGGCTTTTCCGATTCCTCCATTCCTTAAATTTTCTATTTCTCGATTTTTTTATTTTTCGATTTCTCAATCTTACGATATTTCAATGATACGATTTCTCAATTTTTGTCCTCTTCAATTTTGCGGTTTTTAAATATTTCGATTTTTCAATTTTTCAAATTTTCACGTTTCTAAATTTTCAGTTTGGCAATTTCTAAAGTATTTTTTTTTCTTTGTCCATTTCTGGACTTCCTAAAGTTTCGATTTTTCACATCTTCAATTCTTCAATTTTTCGATTTTTTAAGATTACAATTTTTCAATTTTGCTTTTTTAGATTTTCGATTTCTCAATTTTCCAATTTTTTAATTTCTCAATTTTTTGAATATTTCTTTCAGTTATGAGATTTTTCAATATTTCAATTTGTCGACTTTTCGATTTTTGAATTGATGGATTTTTTTTGATTTCTCGATTTTTTACTTTTTGGATTTTCAATTTATTGTAAACTTTAGATTTTTCAATTCTGCGACTGTTTAATGCTTCGATTTCTCAATTTTTAAACTTTTCGATGTTTTAATATTTCATTTTTTAAAATTCTAGGTTTTTCGATATCTCGAGTTTTCAGTTCTTCTATATTTCAATTTTTCAATTTTTCGATTTTTTGAATTTTAATTTTCGATTTTCCAGTTTTTCTTTTTTAAAATTTTTCGATTATTCAATTTTTTAATTTCTCAATTTATCGAATTCAGATGTTTCGTTGTTTTGATTGTTCAATTTCTCAATTTTTCAATTTTTAACTTTCCTTTTCGGCTTCCGACTCCTCAATTTCTCGATCCTTCGATTTTTCGATTTCTCGAAGTCTCAGTTTTTTAATTTTTCGATGTTTCGATTTTTGGATTTCTCGGTTTTTCGATTTTTTTCTTTTGAGTTTTTCAATTTCTGGATTTTCCAATTTTTCAATGCCCCGATTTTTCAATTTTTCAAATTGAATTGGATCTCTGGATTCTTCAATTTTGCGATATTTTAATTATTCAGTGTTTTAAATTTTAGTTTTTTCGATTTTTTGACTTTTCAGTTCTTCAGTATTTAAATTTTTGAATTTTTCTAATTTTTGCGTTAAATTTGCAGTTTTCTGATTTCTCAATTAATCTATTTTTGATTTTCCCACTTCTCAAAGTTTCGATTTTTCAGTTCTTCAATTCTTCGTTTTTTCGACTTCGCTTTATTGGTTTGCCGATTTCTCAATTTTTGGATATTTCTTTCAGTTTTGATATTTTTCAATACTTCGATTCTTTCATTTTTCGATTTCTAGATTTTTCTATTTTTTATTTTTGGATTTTCAGTTTTTTGTTTTTTATTTCAATTTCTCAATTCTTCGACTTTTTCATATTTTAATTTTTAAATTTCTAGATTTTTCAGTTTCTCGAGTTTCCAGTTCTATATTTTAATTTTTTAAATTTACGAATGTTTAAATTTTTTGAGATCTCAATTCATTGAGATTCGGATGTTTCGATGTTTTGATTATTCAATCTCTCGCTTTATCAATTTTTCCATATTTAAGTTTTCGATTTTTCGATTTTGGCCTACTTCGGTTTGTCAATTTTTTGATTTTTTGACTTCTCGATTTTTCGACTCCTCGATTTTTTTTGTCTTTTGATTTTTCGATTTCTCGATGTCTCAATTTTTGAATTTTACAATGTTTCGATTTTTTGATTTGTTGGTTTTTAGATTTTTTGCTTTTCGGTTTTTCGATTTATCGATGTTTCGATTTTTGATTTATCCGATTTTTCAATTGTCCAATTTTTGAAATTCTCGACTTCTCGATTCGTTGATTTTTCAGTTTTTCGATTATTAAATTTTCGATTTTTTTTTTTTGATGTTTGGATTTCTCCATTTTTCAGTTTTAGGATATTTTAACTTTTCAATGTTTTAAATTTTAGATTTTTCGATTTTTCAGTTCTTCAATATTTTTTTATTTTTCAAATTTTGACGTTTCTGAATTTTTAGTTTTCGGATTTCTCAATTAATCTATTTTTTTATATTCCCATTTCTCCACTTCCTAAAGTTTCGATTTTTCAGTTCTTCAGTTTTTCAATTTTTCGATTATTCAGGTTTTTGATTTTTCAATTTTTCGATTTTTTAAGTTTGCGATTTTTAGACTCTGCTTTTTTGACTTTTTTGTTTCTCAATTTTTTAATTTCCTAATTTTTGGATATTTCGTTCAATTTTGTGATTTTTCAGTTTTTCGATTTCTCAATTTTAACTTTTCAATTTTTGAATTTATTAATTTTTTTCGATTTTTTGAGTTTTCAGTTCTCTATATTTGAATTTTTCAATTTTCGGAATTTTTAAATTTTCGATTGTCCAATTTTTTTTTATTTTTCGATTTTCCAATTTTTCGATGTTTCAATTTTTGAATTAACCGATTGTTCAATTTCTCGATTTTTAAATTTTAGATTTTCCAATTTTAATTTTTTTGATTTTTTTATGTTTCGATTTCTCGATTTTACAATTTTCCCATAAGTATTTGAATTTTTCAGTGTTTTAAATTTTCGATTTCGAGGATTTACTGTGTTACAGTAGTCATCAGTCATTACTCATCAAGAACGATTATTGCTGTGCGTTAAAATGCCAACATACTGATAAGCACGTACATACAAGACACATTTAAGGCTGTTTTAGTATAATTTTTGCAATTTTAAATTTATTTCTTGATGTCTAAATCGTATATATTTAAATGGTGATGAATATTTTGTGATACAATCTTAGGATAAAATGCATTTTAGTTTCAAAAATAATATGTATTTAATGATTTGACTACTGTTAATAAAAAAAATACGTAAGAAGATGTTCATATTGAATTAATTTGGTGTTCATAGTTTGATGATAATCCGTAGTTATTCTGTAGGCAAATTAGATGACTTGTTACTTATTAATTAAAGTAGTGGTCGTTTAATTTCGTATACCTTTAAAGTGGACGAAGGGACGCATATTTGTTAGCCATGCAGTTCATGGATAATAGGTATACCGCGATAATATTAAATTTTTGTTACCTTAACCTTGAAACAGGTATGCACTACATATACATAATTTTACAGTAAAGTCTTCAACACGTACGTTTGCTTATTTTGTGACTGCTCCCCGTACAACGTACTGATTAATACGTCCGTTTACTACCTTATCGACATCACGTGCTTACGGACTATTTTTACCCCCTTTCGTATAGGTTGTCCAACTATAATGTACTTAAACAATGTTAGTAGTCTCACACTCATTTTTTGTTTGTTTTTTTTTTTTTTTTATAATAGGTGACTCGTGCCATCCCGGAACTGACTAAACTCCTGGGTGACGAAGACCAAGTGGTCGTGTCTCAAGCGGCCATGATGGTCCACCAGCTCTCGAAACGGGAGACCTTCAGGCTCGCCATTCTGAGCAGTCCGGAGATGTTGGGTGCTCTGGTTCGTGCCATTTCCAATTCCAACGACCTGGAGACGACGAAGAGCGCCATGGGGACTATCCACAAGCTGTCGCAGCATCGGACCGGGCCGTTAGCTATCTTGAAATGCGGCGTGCCAGTCCTGGTGCAACTGTTGAGCTCACCCGTGGAGAGTTTGTTGTTTCTGGCCATAACGACGTTGCACAACTTGTTGTTGTACCAGGAGGAGGCCAAGGTGGCGGTGCGGAACGCCGGAGGATTGCAAAAACTGGTGACGTTGTTGCGCAAAGACAACGTCAAGTTCTTGACGGTGGTCACCGATTGTCTCCAAATCCTCGCCTACGGCAACCAAGAGAGCAAACTGATCATTTTGGGGGCGCAGGGTACCACCGAGCTGGTGCGCATCATGCGAACCTACGACTACGAGACCCTGTTGTGGACGACATCGCGGATATTGAAGGTGCTGTCGGTCTGCTCCAGCAACAAGTCCGTGATCATCGAGTGCGGCGGGCTCTTGACTTTGGGTAAACACCTCTGCAGCACCAGCCCCCGCCTGGTACAAAACTGCCTCTGGACAATCCGCAACCTCTCCGACGCCGCCACGAGAGTCAACGGCCTGGATGACCTCCTCGTGTCTTTGGTGGACTCCCTCAACTCCAAAGACATCCAAGTCGTCACCTGCGCCTCTGGCATTCTTTCCAACTTGACGTGCAACAATGAATGGAACAAGAAACTCGTCTACGAAATGAACGGCATTGACACCATTATTCACACGATCCTCGTCGCCGAAGACCGCGAAGAAATCACCGACCCGCTGGTGTGCACTCTGCGGCATCTCACGGCGAAGAGCGAATTCTCCGATAGAGCTAGGAGGGACATCGTGGAGAGCAGCGGCATCCAGGTGATAATGAAGCTCCTGAATACGTCGTGTAGCTGGCCGGTGGCTAAGGCGCTAATCGGGCTAATTCTCAACCTGGCGCGCTATCCAGATAACGTGGGACCGCTGCGCGAGTGCGGAGTGGTCCACCATTTGATTCAGCTGCTCCTGCGCACTTTCCAGGACATCCAGAGGGTAAAAACGCCGAAAATAGGGAGCCGGGTTTTAATTGAATTGGGTTTGTAGAGGGGCGGCGGGGCGCAGAGGACGGCGAACGGGGTGAGGATGGAGGATATCGTCGAGGGGACTGTCAACATTTTGCATATACTGTCACGTGATTTGTTTTCGCGGACGATCATTCGCCAGGAGATGGCGATACCGATATTAGTACAGCTTCTGTACAACGAGAAGGAGAGCATACAGAGGGCTGCGGCGGCGGTGCTCACCGAACTGGCGGCGGAAAAGGAGGGGGCAGATATTATCGAGCAGGAAGGGGCGACGACGATTTTGACGGAGCTGTTGCACTCGCGCAACGAAGGTGGGTCTTCCAGTTACTTTTTTATCTGGAATTTAAAAATTCGTTGGTTTGGTTTGTCTTTCTTGCAGGTATCGCCTCCTATGCGGCGACAATATTGTACAGGATCAACGAGGAGAGGTCCCAGTTCCAGGAGGAGACCATCTGGAATCCCGACTTCGAGATGGTCGCGGAGCTGCAAGTAAGAGTCGCTTTTTCGCCCTGTTTCTGTTGAATCGAGTTAGTTTATTGCTTGTCTAGCGTAGATTGCACTTTTATTTTTATTTTGCATTTTTTTATTGGTTATTTTAGGAGATTTTGAGTTCTGACCAATCATATAATAATGTTTATAATCAAGAGACATCCAGTGTGCACAGCAATCACAGTAGCCAACCTTTTCAGCAGCAAGGTAATTAAATCGTCCCACAAGAACTTTTCATTTCGTAGTATAGTTGCATGGGCTTACCTGCATGATTGTGGGTCGTTGCGGTCGGATGGGGGCGTTTTTTGATTGGCGTTTTTGCAGGATTTAACCAGGTACCAGTAGAAATGCCCGGGTTGGAAATGAGCGCACACGATAGCGGCAATAGCTCTAGTTACTCTGCATTGTTAGAAGCTATGGAGGTCACGATGGCCGATACAGATTCTGATTTGAATTTTAACAATATCAACCAGTTGCCTTCCACACCACAAGATAACCAAGCCACAGATTGGTACGATAATCCAGAATTTTAGTTTTTTACTGAATATTTGTGATACAGACTATAATTATTTATTGCATGCTTTGTACGATAGCTACCGAAAGAGACTTAAGCAACAGCAATATTTTACGTCGTAAGACTTTATTTTAGTGTTTCTATTAATCAATCGTATTCCTATACTTAGATTTACGTATGTACTAGTATATCACGACCATTTAGACTTTAGCAATAATGTGTTGAAAATGCCGTAGCTTTACATAATTACCGACAAAGAGAGTAATTATTTATTTTTATTACGTAACATAATTTTATATTTATTAGGTTTTATTTGCTTTAAACAAAAGAAACAAGATGAAATTTCGTAACAAAAGTTTCGTGCTTCATTATTGATCTCCATTATTTATTTTATTATGTGCGATAATAGGTATAACCGAGGACGGAACAAGCAGTGACAAAAAGTTACAAATTTTTTTTCACGCGTTAATGATTTCTATAAGAAGTTACGCAGTTTTATCTTGTGTTAAAATTATTTTAAAAGCAATTGTTAGCACTGCCTTTGTTCATATTCTTATTTATGTTATTAGTAAAATATTTAACCAGATTTTACCTGATTTTATACGCCCTACCTGGTATCCTTGCAGACCCGCAAAAAATTCGGACGCTTCTACTCTCCAAATGTTACGGAATACGAACACGGCGGCTTCGTGTGTTTGACGAGTTTATTTGGAAATGGAAAAATCGGATATTTAGGAACGTCAAAAATTGCAAAATTGAAAAATTGTGAATCTGAAACAACGGAAAATTGAGAAATCGAAAAATGAAAATATCGAGAACTCGAAAATTTGAAGAATTGAAAAATCCCAAAACTGAATTATCTAAAAATTTAGAAGTCGAAAATTGGAAAACTGAGAAACCGAAAAGTCGAAAAAACGAAGCAGAAAAACTGAAAAAATCGAATTAACACAAATCAACAACATGAAAAATCAAAAACCAAAAAAGCGCTTAATCGGGAAATTGAGAAATTGAAAAATAGAAAATTTAGAAAAACGCTTAAAAAATAAAAAACACGAAAATATGAAGAATTAAGAAATTGTAGAATGTAAAATTGAAAACGGTGTAGAAATTTTAGTAGTTTGTTGATTTAATTTAGTGTGTTTGACTTGTGTAAAACTGTATTTGTAGTTTTGAACACCAATAAAGTATTGACTGATTGAAAAAATTCTTGCATTGAAACATCGAAAAATTGAAAAATGGAAAAAAATTGAAAACTCCAAAAACTGAAACAACGTAAAATTGAGAAATCGAAAAATGAAAAAATCGCACGAGAACTCGAAAATTTGAAGAATTGAGAAATTTAAAAATACCAAAACTATTATCGAAAAATGGAAAATTGAGAAACCGAAAAGTCGAAAAAACGTAGCAGAAAAACGCAAAAAATCGAATAAATGGAAAATCAAAAAAACAAAAAAATGCTTAATCGAGAAATTGAGAACTGGAAAAATAGAAAATTTAGAAACACTCAAAAATTCAAATACCGAAAAATTGAGAAATTGAAAAATGAAAAAATCCCGCGAGAACTCAAAAATTTGAAGAATTTAGAAATTTAAAAATCTCAAAACTGAATTGTCGAGAAATTTAAAAGTCGAAAAATGGGAAATTGAGAAACCGAAAAGTTGAAAAGACGTAGCAGAAAAACTGAAAAAAATCGAATTAATGGAAAATCAAAAACATGAAAAATCAAAAAAACAAAAAATGGTAAAATAGAAAATTTAGAAAAACGCTCAAAAATTCCAAAATTGAAGTATCGAAAAATTGTAGAACTGAAACGTCGGAAAAGTGAGAAAACGACAATTAAAAAAATCGAGAACTGGAAAATTTTGAGAATTGAGAAATTGGAAGATTCCAAAATTGAAATTGAGAAATCGAAAAATGAAAAAATCGGCAACTCGAAAATTTAGAGAAATTGGAAATTCCCAAAATTGAAACAATGAAAAATTGAGAAATCGAACAATGAAAAAATCGAGAACTCGAACATTTGAAGAATTGAGAAATTGTAGAATGTAAAATTGAAAAATCCCTGCATTGAAACATCGAAAAATTGAAAAATCGAAAAATGAAAAAATTGCGCGAGAACTCGGAAATTTGAAAAATTGAATTATCCAAAAATATGGAAGTCGAAAAATGGAAAATTGAGAAACCGAAAAGTAGCAGAAAAACTGAAAAAATCGAATAAATCGAAAATCAAAAACAGAAAAATCAAAACAACAAAAAAGTGCTTAATTGAGAAATGGAAAAATAGAAAATTTAGAAAAATACTCAAAAATTCAAAAATTGAAAAGTCCAAAATCTGAAACTACAAAAAATGAAAAAATCGCGCGAGAAGTGAGAAATTGTAAAATCGAAAAATTTAAAATTCCCTTCACTAGAATATAGGAAAATTGCAGAAACGAAGAAAAATTGAAAAGACCCAAAACTAAAACATCGAAAAATAGGGAAATTGAAAATTAGAAATCGGGAAACAGAAATCTTAAAAAATCGAATAAACTAAACATAAAAAACTCGAAAAATGGAAAAATTGAATATGTAATTGGAAAAATGAAAAATCAAAAAAATCGAGAAGTTGAGAAGTTGAGAAATCTAAAAGTCCAAAAACCGAAACGAAAAAATTGAGAAATCGTATAATCGACAATTTAGAAACGTCAAAAATTGAAAAATCGTAAAAAAATTAAAAAAACGATAACTCGAAAATTTGAAAAAACCAAGAAAAATCTAAAAATCCCAAATCTGAAGCAACGGAAAATTGAGAAATCGAAAAATGAAAATATCGAGAACTCGAAAATTTGAAGAATTGAGAAATTGTAAAATCGAAAAAGTTAAAAACCTCAACACTGGAGTATCGACAAATTGAGAAAACGAAAAATTTTAAAATCCCAAAACTGAATTATCTAAAATTTTAGAAGTCGAAAATTGGAAAACTGAGAAACCGAAAAGTCAAAAAAACGAAGGAGAAAAACTGAAAAAATCGAATTAATACAAATCAACAACATGAAAAATCAAAAAACCAAAAAAGCGCTTAATCGGGAAATTGAAAAATAGAAAATTTAGAAAAATGCTTAAAAATTCCAAAATTGAAATATCGAAAAATTGTAAAACTGAAACATCGGAAAATTGAAAAAAATCAAGACCACGAAAATTTGAAGAATTAAGAAATTGTAGAATGTAAAATTGAAAACGGTGTAGAAATTTTAATAGTTTGTTGGTTTAATTTAATGTGTTTGACTTGTGTAAAACTGTATTTGTAGTTTTGAACACCAATAAAGTATTGATTGATTGATTGAAACAAATCCTTGCATTTAAACATCGGAAAATTGAGAAATCGAAAAATGAAAAAATCGCACGAGAACAAGAAAATTTGAGAAATTGAGAAATTAAAAATCCCAAAACTGTATTATCGAAAAATGGGAAATTGAGAAACCCAAAAGTCGAAAAAACGGAGCAGAAAAACTCAAAAAATCGAATAAATGGAAAATCAAAAACATGAAAAATCAAAAAAACAAAAAAGTGCTTAATCGAGAAATTGAGAAATGGAAAAATAGAAAATTTAGAAACAGTCAAAAATACAAAAATTGAAAAATCGAGAAAAAATTGAAAAGTCCAAAAACTGAAGCAACGAGTAATTGAGAAATTTAAAAATCTCCAAACTGAATTATCGAGAAATTTAAAAGTCGAAAAATGGGAAATTGAGAAACCGAAAAGTTGAAAAAACGTAGCAGAAAAACTGAAAAAAATCAAATACATGGAAAATCAAAAACATGAAAAATCAAAAAACCAAAAAAGTGCTTAATCGAGAAATTGAGAAATGGTAAAATAGAAAATTTAGGAAAACGCTCAAAAATTCCAAAATTGAAATATCGAAAAATTGAAAAATCGAGAAAAAATTGAAAAGTCCAAAAACTGAAGCAACGAGTAATTGAGAAATTTAAAAATCTCAAAACTGAATTATCGAGAAATTTAAAAGTCGAAAAATGGGAAATTGAGAAACCGAAAAGTTGAAAAAACGTAGGAGAAAAACTGAAAAAAATCGAATTAATGGAAAATCAAAAACATGAAAAATCAAAAAACCAAAAAAGTGCTTAATCGAGAAATTGAGAAATGGTAAAATAGAAAATTTAGAAAAACGCTCAAAAATTCCAAAATTGAAATATCGAAAAATTGTAGAACTGAAACATCGCAAAAGCGAGAAAACGAAAATTAAAAAAATCGAGAACTCGAAAATTTTGAGAATTGAGAAATTGGAAGATCCCAAAATTGAAATTGAGAAATCGAAAAATGAAAAAATCGGGATCTCGAAAATTTAGAGAAATTGGAAATTCACAAAATTGAAACAATGAAAAATTGAGAAATCGAACAATGAAAAAATCGAGAACTTGAAAATTTGAAGAATTGAGAAATTGTAGAATGTAAAATTGAAAAGTCCAAAAACTGAAACCACGAAAAATTGAGAAATCGAAAAATGAAAAAATCGCGCGAGAACTTGAAGAATTGAGATATTTAAAAATCCCAAGACTGAATTATCGAAAATTTAGAAGTCGAAAAATTGAAAACTGAGAAACCGAAAAAACGAAGCAGAAAAACTGAAAAAAAATCGAATTAATGACAAATCAACAACATGAAAAATCAAAAAACCGAAAAAGCGCTTAATCGAAAAATTGAGAAATTGAAAAATAGAAAATTTAGAAAAACGCTTAAAAATTCCAAAATTGAAATAACGAAAAATTGTAAAACTGAAACATCGGAAAATTGAAAAAAATCAAGAACACGAAAATATGAAGAATTAAGAAATTGTAGAATGTAAAATTGAAAACGGTGTATAAATTTTAATAGTTTGTTGGTTTAATTTAATGTGTTTGACTTGTGTAAAACTGTATTTGTAGTTTTGAACACCAATTAAGTATTGATTGATTGATTGATTGAAATAAATCCTTGCATTGAAACATCGAAAAATTGAAAACTCCAAAAACTGAAACAACGAAAAATTGAGAAATCGAAAAATGAAAAAATTGCACGAGAACTCGAAAATTTGAAGAATTGAGAAATTTAAAAATCCCAAAACTGTATTATCAAAAAATGGGAAATTGAGAAACCGAAAAGTTGAAAAAACGTAGCGGGAAAACTGAAAAAAATTGAATTAATGGAAAATCAAAAACATGAAAAATCAAAAAACCAAAAAATGGTAAAATAAGAAATTTAGGAAAACGCTCAAAAATTCGAAAATTGAAATATCGAAAAATTGAAAAATTTTAGAACTGAAACGTCGGAAAAGTGAGAAAACGACAATTAAAAAAATCGAGAACTCGAAAATTTTGAGAATTGAGAAATTGGAAGATTCCAAAATTGAAATTGAGAAATCGAAAAATGAAAAGATCGGGAACTCGAAAATTTAGAGAAATTGGAAATTCCCAAAATTGAAACAACGAAAAATTGAGAAATCGAACAATGAAAAAATCGAGAACTCGAACATTTGAAGAATTGAGAAATTGTAGAATGTAAAATTGAAAAATCCCTGCATTGAAACATCGAAAAATTGAAAAATGAAAAAAA